TATACTTATGTGTGTGTATATGAAAAAGTGAAAACAGGTCTGAAATAAAGACTTTAAAAACCAGGTAAGATTTATTATTTTGCCAGATTTCCAACATAAACGGTTAAATTCTTTGTAATCCGTCTATAGTTTTGAACAAAAATGTTCAGTGTTCTTCTTTTAGCTGCCTCCTTCTTCTTCTGCAGGTGTGGCCACAGCGAGCGACCGCGGCCTACTGAATAAAAGCAGTCAGTGTAAAGTGTGTATTATAGGTGCTTCTAAAAATATTAGAATATTATGAAAATGTTAATTTTTGTCAATAATTTTTGGAAAAAAAACTCATATTACACAGATTCATGAAATATCTCAGGGCCTTTATTTCTTGTAATTTTGATGATTATCTGACCTAACCCGTTTTGGACCTTAATTGCTGGTATTTTTATACCTCTCTGTTATTTTTATATATTATGTATGTTCCTTTGTACTGAAACTCTGGCACAACAGTTTCCTGCAGGATCAGTAAAGTTCTATCTTATATCATCTTGTCTTATTATGCCTTACAAATGACAAAAACCCAAAATTCAGTGTCTCATATAATTAGAATATTCCACAACCAGTTTTTGGTCTCTTGTCAGTGTGGGCAGGAGCCAAGTCCTGCTGGAAAATGAAACCAGCATCTCCATAAAGCTCGTCAGCAGAAGGAAGCATGAAGTGCTCTAAAATGTTGGCAGCACGATGGCTCAGTGTTTAGCACTGCTGACTCACAGCAAGAAGGTCCTGGGTTCATTCTCTGGATGGACCTGGGGGTTTTCTGTGTGGAGTTTGCATGTTCTTCTCGTGCTTGCATGGGTTTTCTCCGGGTACTCCAGTTTCTTCCCACTGGTCAAAAACATGCCTTCAGGCCTCCCTTGCAAAAGAGATCTGTGATCTCAGTGGGATTTGCCTGGTTAAATAAAGGTTAATAAATAATGTTCTGGTAGATGCTACATGGACTGTGGACTTCAGAGAACACAGTGGACCAACACCAGCAGAGGACATGGTCCCAAATCATCACCGACTGTGGAAACTTCACTCTGGACTTCAAGCAACGTGGATTCTGGACCTCTCCACTCTTCCTCAGACTCTGGGACCTTGATTTCCAAATGCCTGTGTTCTGAAAAGAGGACACTGGACCACTGAGCAACAGCCCAATTCTTCTCCTCAGCAGGTAAGACACTTCTGACTTGTCTCTGGTTCAGGAGTGGCTGGACTTTATGAATGGGACATTTGTAGTCCAGGAGTTAATCAGCTGATCAGGGTGTGACACCAGGAGTTTACAATTTTAAACTTTTTCATAATATTATAATTTTCTGAGACACTGGATTTTGTTTTTTCATTATTTGTAATACATGATCATCAACATTACAAGAAATAAAGGCTTGAAATATTTCACTTTGTGTAGAAACCATGTAATATATAAGCTTCACTTTCTGAAATGAATGACTTAAAAAAAAAACTTGTTCACGATAGTCTAATTTTTCAGATGCACCTGTGTGTGCAGTGACTCATCAGCTAGTCCTTGCCTTGTTCTTGCTGCTCTCACACAGCTGCAGGCTGGCCAGGATCTGACTCTCGATGGCATGGACCCAGGAGTCCCTCTCCTCGACACTCTGAGCCTCAAAGTGCCACGTCTGGCCGGTGCTGGACACAACCAGGAAGTCAAAGTTCTCCTCATCTGATGTGGACAGAAGGTATTGGTCCAACATGAGAAACGAACCAGTAACTTTGATGTTTCAAGCAACAGTGCAGGTAATAATTCACATCTTGAATTAGGTTTTAAAAAATGTTTTTTTGATGCATGTGAACTGTTCATTGTTGAAAATCTGAAATTTTGAGCTCAAGCTTGTGAAATGGATATTATTTTTATTCATTTTATTTTTTTGCTACAGCAGCTTTATAACAAATGTGACAGGGGGAGATCAACATCAGTATTTTATGGTATAGATGTTATTTATTAACTTACTGTATTCAATTAGATTAAAATCTTGCGCTATTGAAGTTTTGTTTGTTTCAAGCCAGATAAAAAATACAATAACTGTTTTAGGCCTTAAATCCTTTAAGATTTATGTTTAAATGCTAATAGTTTCTCTGGATGCTGCTTTTTATGACTCCAGTCCTCGTAAAAAACTGTGTTGTTATCTTTGACAAACATATTGTTTTAATTCATGTAATAAACAGCAGCTTTTTGTCACTTTTTCTACATTTAAAGCAAAGTGTAAAACTACTTGTTCCAACAAAGTTCAGTCAGGTCATCTGGACAGTTTCTTTTTTTTTGGCTGAGACGTTACAGCCTTCATCCAAAGGACTTCATCAGTCCGAGGAGCCACAACAAACTCAGTCACATAGTGAACCAACCAGTTTGCTGGAGATAAGATGGTTTCTGGGGCCCGCCCAGCGTCCAGATGACCTGACTGAATTATGTTGGATTTTTTTACCTGGATTATTGAGCATGAACTTTGATGATTTGAACTACTTTGGCCTCAGAGGAGTCGACGGGGGAGACAGCGAGCCCCAGAAACCATCTTATCACAAGCAAACTGGTTGGTCAACTATAGTGTGCTGCTTGTGGGACTCAATTTGTTGTGGCTCCCTCCTTGGACTGAAGAAGCCCTTTGGATGAGGGACGAAACATCTCAACAAAAAAAAAAACGTCCAGATGACCTGACTGAACATTGTTGGATTTTTTTACCTGGATTATAGGGCACGAACTTTGATACTTGTTTTAAAGTGACCTCTCGTTTTAACCTTCTTGCCTTGAATTCAGTCTTTCTAGTTTTTTTTCCTGTGAATCACAACATTTTAGTATAAACTGCAAATGACTTTCCAATGTTTTTAATTTGAATATATTTTATATTTATGTTTTGCTTTAGCTCTGAAAAGCACTTCGAGTTGTGTTTGAAAGGTGTTTTACAACGTTGGGTGTAAAAAGTTGTAATATGGCTGAAGGACATTACCCGTCTTGCTCACGTTTCTCAGGCTACCAAAACTTTTGAGTTTCCACATTTTGCGTTTAGCTGCATAAGAAAGGAGAGTGAAAAAAGTTATGCATTCATTTCACAAAAAAACACTATACATATGTTGTCAAATCTGCAATAAATAACACTTTAAAAAAAATCATGAATTACAGATTGTATAAATAAAAAAGCAGTGGATTTAAAGAAAAGGCAGAATGCTGTTTACAAAAACATGTTGGATTTGAATTTTACCGCACCGTCTGCCTGAGCCAAAGTTGCGTCTCCTTTCGGATTTGTGTTCTTCTTTTTCCGGTACTTCTTCCTGTCCGTCAGCGGGGAGGCAGAGCCCACGTCTTTAGTGGAAGAAGAGCTGGAGACTCCCTCAACGGCAGAATCTGAAGCGCAGGAAGAAAAACACAAGTCGTTTCTCTGAAACCAGCGCAAAGTCCAGAACACGCAACCAGAAATCTTTCATGCTGCTCACCAACACCTTGAGCGTGGTTTGATAGTGTGGATGGACACCGCTGCACACCTACGTTACTCCTCAGGAACAGTGAACCTCCCAGTTCCTCCATTTCCTCCACCTGCAGGAGGCTGCTGGCACTGACTGGTGCTGGAGAGATTACAGCAACAATATTTAACATAACCACTGATGCGAACAACAAATGAGACTCATCACAATGAGATGTCATTGAGTTCGTACTAAGAGTTCAAAGAGCTATCTACAGCAGGTAACCTACTGATTGTTTATAAGCTTCCACAGATCTTGCCTACAAAAGATCTGAACTTTCTCTTTAACGAAGCTGAGAATAAACAAATTAATTTTGCTTTGCACAGAAAAGTGGGTCAAAGTTTTTCCAGATGAGATAACTCCTTCTGCTTTCATTAAAGGAGAGGGATAATGTAATTGATTTTGTGTTTTTGTCTGTTAGCAAAATATTTCATAAACTACTGGGTGGATTTTAATTAAAAAAACTCAAAAAGTAATTAATTGATACACATCTACAACTGATTAACTTTTAAAGTCAATCCTAGTCTAGATGGCCGTCAAAGCTTATCAAACTTAGAAAACACAAAGATGTCCGTACCTCAGTCCATTTTATAGATATTGAGCTAAAGTTTGGTGTGGTGGTAGCTGAGAGTCATTTCCAACACACACTGAAACTGCTGCTGACAAATCAAATGTCATCTTAAGTTAAATCTAACAAAGTTAAGTCAGGTCCTCTAGATGGATTATTCTTGTTGAAACGTTTTGCCTAGTTCTGGACGTCAGCAACAAACTGGTTGATCCACTATGAGAAGACGCTTTTTATAAAACTGAGTTTGTTGCAGCTCCTCAGACTGAAGGAGTCTTTTGGTTAAAGCCGAAACGTTTCAAAAAAGAAGAATCTGTCCAGAGGACCTGACTCAATCTTGTTGGATTTTTTTACATGAATTATTGAGCATGAATCAGGATATCTTAAATTACTGTATTTTTTGGACTATAAGGTGCACAAAATCCTTTAATTTTCTCAAAAATCGACAGTGAGTCTTATGTTTGAATTCTGGTTGTGCTTACTGACCTCCAACCGATTTTATGTGGTTATTGTGAATGAGCTGAATAAAGTTTGACTTATCTATTTTGTTTCGCTTAATGCGCCTTGTGTATGAAAACAGACTCGTTTCATTGATATTGTGCCTTGTAGTCTGAAAAATATGGTAAACCTTTGGCATGTAAGACAACTTATGTGTGAATAAAAATACATTTAAAACTGAAAGGAATGTAATATTTTGGTGTTTTATATCACTGAAGTGTGGCATCATTACTCGTGAACAGCTTTCAAATCCATCTCAAAGCAGATCCGTCTATTTTTTTCTTGGCTCGTATTAGCCAAACTATTTTTACTTTATAGTAATAAAAAGTTTCACACGTTGTGGGTATACAGCTGCACTCCGGCATTTGAGTCCGATTTAGTATTACACCAGCACATAGATTTTCTTCTGGTTTATATACATCTCCTAAGGGAAATCTTGCTCCTTCCATCCTGTCATGATGTAATGGAGTGTTTACCCTCAGGTCCCAGCACATCTTTGACCCGCCCGTTAAGCCCAGCCGGGGGGCCGCAAGTGGGCACAGCACGGGGCGGTCGCTTTCCCGGCACCTTCACAGTGACTCGCAGCAGGTCCATCTCTTTCCCCGGGGTGTTCAGCATGTACTCCTATCAACACCAAAGAGCGCAGCGCTGCCGTCAAACATTAGTGTTTTTCCTTCAAGCAGCCATTGTTTCTCAGCACAAATGACTCACGTTGACACTGGAGTGGTAGGACAGTATGCCGTCGTTGGACAGAGTGACATATTTCTTTTTCCACTCTTTGTTGAGCGAGTTCCCACTGCGCTTCAGCAAGATGCCCTGACGGGAACGAAAACAAAGCGAAAAATGAGTATTTACTGCAAACGCCTCGTGCGTTCGTTTCACACATTGTGGTGGCACGAAGAGGCCCAGCTGCCAAAAACACCCACCAGCTATTCATCAGGCCAGCAGCACTTCATCAGTCAACACGATGAAGTCTTACTTTCTGAAATGACTGCTGGAGGAGCGTCCTCGCTGAGGGTCATCAGATACATATCTGTCTCTGTATCGAGCACTCATCGGTGTCTCACCTGTTTGACGGGAATGAAGCGTCCGCTGCCGAAATCTCCCTTACAGTCAGCACTGCGTCTGTTTGAGTCGCTGCCTCGTCGCCCCTGCAGGACACAAAAGGAGAGGAAATACAGACAACGTTGAATGTTACAGTTGAAAAAACATGTTTTTTACAAGATGTCTATCTGGCCAAATATGGCAACAATGCTCAAAAATAATAAACTGTTTTTTCCCACTTTGGAGTAAGCTGTTGGAGGAAGAATCAGTTTTGTTTGGTGTTTCCTCAGACTGATGAAGCCTTCTGGATGGAGGGCCAAATGTCTCAGCACAGAAAAGAGACTGTCCAAATGACCTGACTGGAAATTGTTGGATTTTATATCTGGATTATTGAGCATGGACTTTGGTGTTTAGTCTGTCATTGTTTCTCCTCGTCATTAATCACGACACCCTGTTCTTTTTTGGGATTTGTCAGATCTTTGGCTTCAGTCTTGTTCTACGTTATCCTTCGTGTCTAACCCAAGTTTGACTTTAACATTTTCTCTGTTCAGCCTGCCTTTAAGGTTTCAACGTTGCCTGCTTCTGGAATAGTAGCTGCATTTGGGTCCTAATCTCAAGGTTTGTATCATGCTGCATTTGTTTAGGTGTATGACTCATTCCCCCAGCGTACTTTTGGGGGGTTTTGTCAGAAAAAACTACAAAGATATTCTTGTATTGACAAAAGATTCATTAGTAAATAAAGAATTAGTAAATTAGCACTTACCGCAAATCTGGGGGTGCGTCTCCGAACTCCACGAACTGACCCGGGCCCAGCACTGTCCAGTTTCTCACCCCTTAAAGTTCTCCCAATCTCTTTGTGGCTGATCACCGGGGTGGAGGGAAGAGATGAGGAGTAATCACTGCTCTGACCACCATTACTGGCCTTCAGGAAGGAAAACGTCAAAGCAGGGGGAAAGAACGTTTTGAACAGCAAGGGCAACAGATAATAAACAGCAGACGTTCTGTTGGGTTCTTACCTGTCCTGGAAAGACTCCAGACACTGGTGTGGAGCCACCAGAGTGACTGGGAGAGTTGGGAAGAGACTTACAGGAAGCCAGTAGAGCGGCTTGCTTCTTGGCCGCCATGATCTTCTGAGCAGCTGTGGACAAAACAGAACACAACATCCAGATTCATACAGCTTCTGTTGCAGCTTCCTTCATTTCTCATCTTGCTTTGACGCACCATCGTTGAAGACTCGGTTCACATTGAGGCCGTACGTGGCGCAGGTTTCGTAGTAAGTGCAGCGACGCACATCTGAGCAAAGCTGTCTGGCCTTGGCGTCGTCTATCACCCTGGAGTTGGTGCTGCTGATCTTATCTAGAAAACCACAACATCTCAAGGTCCCACGTGCAAGCTTTTGTCCAAAAGTGCATGCCGTGTGGGACAGTCTTACCCTGAGTGCCAACGACTACAAAAGGTATCTCAGAGACAGGCCGGTGCATGGCAAGCTGATGGTAGAATTTATAAACCTCCTGGAAGCTGGCCTCGTTTTCCAAGCTGAAGACCAAGATGACGGCATCCACCCAGCTTGCAAACTAAAGACAGGGAACAATCAGGCTGATAGTAGGTTCTAAAAGTTTTTCTTGATAAATAAGTTTAGGTCAGTTTCCAACCTACCTGAGCTCCTGGGAGTTCGGTCTCCTCTCTGATTATAATCAGGTGACTCTGTCCGTCCACCAGCACGTCCTTAATGTATTGCCGTCCTGGTTGTGAAACAAAAATTATGACTTTGCAAACTTAACTGTTGCAGCAGCTGATCTATACCTGCTAAATGATATACACCTGTTGTAATAGACCCCAGAATGAACACATGCACAGCACTTCTAAGCACTAGCACCAAGCATCTGAAGGCATGAAGCCCAAGAAAAGACAATTGTAGAGAAGTACAAATCAGATCAGGGTTGGGTTATTAATAAAAAAATCCCAGAACCCTAAACATCCTGTGGAGCACCATTAAATCCATTATTAGACAATGGAAAGATGATATCCATTGCAGTAAACCTGCCATGGGAAGGTTGTCCACCAAAACTCATGGGCATTAAAACAGGGAAAGGACGACAATAAAAGAAACATCCATAAGGTCAAAGATAACCCTGATGGAGCTGGACAGCTCTTCTGCAGAGATGATCGTATCGTTGGACTGGTTTTTAATTTGTTCCTCGAACATATAGAGGAAGACGTTGTGGTCAGATGAGGCCACAACTGAACATTAGGACCATCAAGGGAAATGCCATGTTTGAGGTAATTGTGCTGAGAACACCATCCTCACAGTGAAGCATGGTGGTGGCAGCACCATGCTATGGTTTTCCTTTCAGCAGGGGCTAAGACAGGTCAGAGTTAAAGGAAAGGTGAGTAAAACATAGAGATTTGAGACAGGCACTGAGGTTCACCTCCCAGCAGGACAATGACCCCGAACACTCCACTGAAGCAACAGTCCAGTGGTTTTAGGAGAACCAGTTAAAGTCTTGTACTGATCCCAGACCTCAATCTACCTGAGAATCTCTGGTATGATTTAAAGATTGTTGGATACAAGCAGCGTCCATCCAACCTGAAGGTGCTGGAGCAGTTTGGTCATCAAGGTTGGATAAAAGCTCAAGGTTAGCTGTGCCAAGGTCATGGAGACAAACCTGCAGACTTGATGTTGTAACTGCTGCAAAAGGTGGACTTTGGAGGGGCGGACAACATATGTACGCTCAGTTTTCTTACATTCAACTTAAACATTAAATTAATTTCCACATTGTCATGCAACAAATTAGAGAGAAGACCATAGGGGTGAATACTTTTACAATCCTCTGGTTAAAACCCAGTGGTCACAGAAAAACCCACAGACACGAATAAAAAAAGCTGAACCAACCCTCAGCATTCTCCACTGGAAGATAACTTCCTGTTAAGTGTCTGTGGACAAGAGCAGACTTCCCACTGCACAGACCTCCCAAAACACCCTACAGAACACAAACACACACAGCGTCAGCATAAAATCCAGCTGAGGTTTGTCAACGCTGTCGTCATGTCTTCAGGATTACCAGGTGAAGTTCTTGCACAGCTTGACTCATGGTCCATTCTGGATTGCTGGTGCATACAACTGAAGATAGGCAGCAATGTAAAAAAAGAGAGAAAAAGTAAATTAATTAATTCATTATAAGCTGAAAAGATATGTGACACATTGCTTTCACAAAAATCGAACACTTAAGAGGTCACGCTGGTTTTGATTGTAGATTTAAAATCCAGAGTTCAGCCTTACATCCATGTGAATGATTGTTTCACATTCATGAAATTCCCTCGAGGCACTCCAGACTTATTACGTTCATGAGAACTGAAAACAAACAAAACTGATAAACCAAAAGACCTTGCTTTTGGTCAAGGTACAAACCAAAGCGAGTCACTAATAAGTAAATACAAAAGTGACTGATACTCATGTTAGGGCTTAATTTGAACCGGATCCTGCCGGAACAGGATCTGGGAACTTGACTGGGTGTGTTCGGGTAACCGTTTGCTTGGATCTGGTAATCTCAGGTTTACCAATAATAAAGTTATGAACAAATATGACTGCCTTGAATGAATAAAACTTATAGTGAATATGTAAATTGAAAATAATTACATAAACACTCATTTTAAACACAACAGCCACTTGCAAGTTTCTTAATATCACATACGAGCTGCTCCTTCAAGTAGCATTTCCGCTTCTGCCCTTAAAAAAATCCTCCAGCCCTAAAAGAGTGGAAGAGGTGCCTGGAGGTTCCACATGTGGAGTCAGATAACAGGACAGTGAATTCAGCGGAGAAGAGAGGCTCAGAACCATCAAGTAAAGGGGATGGATGACAACAGTGGACAACAACGACAACAATAGACAATCATAGAAGAGCCATACAGATAAAAAAAAAATAAAAATTAAAATAAGATGGTAAAAAAAAACAAACAGCTAGATTAAAAAAAAATAGTGACTGTTAAATTCACATTTTTGTGGCCCACGTACGAAAGCGTTTGGACACCCCTGACTTAGGGTGAACCAGTTCTTGTGATACAAGAGGGCAACGTTGAACAGTTATCTGGTCCTATAAGTTGAGATTTTCACTAATTTTATGTTCATAAAGATGCTTTCTTTCTTAAAATAAGCAATTTCCATGTAAAGTTAGGGGGCAGAAAAAAAATAGTCCAAATAAAAGTTCTTGTGTTCAGATATTTTAGGACTGATCCAAAGGTTCACCTGTTTATTGTCAGTGATTCCAGATGTTTTTTTTTACTTGTGCCCCTGCAGTCACACAGAGTTTCTGCTTTGGCAACCACGAATCAATAGTTTAAACATCTGCCTTTGTGTCAACAGAAATCTAAATAACCCGGATCGGTTTATTGCTTCTGGATGTTACTGTAAAGAAACAGAAATCACTACACTGCACAATACACAAAGGGACGCACTGCTCAGTTAACAAGTTGTAAACTGTTTGCAGAATATAAAACAATAAAAAAAAATATATATAATTTCATATGAACTCACTGCAGATGAAGGCTTTGATAGGTTCCTAGAGCATTTAAACAGAAAAAAACAAAAACATTTTGGTTGACCTGTTAGCACAGAGTGCATGTTGTGGACGACTCTCAACTACCACCACATCAAATTTTAGCTCAGTTTTTACAAAACGCACTGAATAAAAGTCATGTTTGTGTTTTCAAGGGTCGACTGGCTGTGGCAGTCATCCTAAATCAGGTTTTTATTAAAGACAGTCATTTTGTTCACGAGATATTTTGCTAACAGACTGACATGTGCAAAGACAGATACAGGCACGTTATTGCTGCTTTTCAAGGAGGCAAGAAATTTTCAAAAAAGCGTTGTGACTGTCAATCATTTGATATTTAAAATATAAGCTTCTTTTTTTCTCACTGCTATTTTATAAAGATACACATTTTGGTAATGATTTTTCTGTATCGAGCCGAACATATTGTTCTATTTGATAAATGAACATTGAATAAAACAGAACAAAGAGAGAAACTGGTTACAGATGTGCACCGACGCCGTATCATCAGGCGCTGACACAGATACAGTTTGTGTAGTCACGTCGGGAAGCTGCCAGGTCACGTTGTTCCGGGCGGTTCTGCAGCGTCGGCCCGGTTCTCCAGGGAAACAGGTTCTAACTTTAAGCACCGCCACAACCCACACAACCCAAACACTCTCCCCTCATCCCCATCTTGGGCAATCCCACACACCCAGATCCCCTCCGTCGAGAGCGTCACGGCGAGGACCGAGCAGCATCTTTCACGGCTTGCTGTTGCCATGGCAACTCCGTTTTCCAGAAGCCTCCAAGCCTGAGTCTCTATACAATAAAAAACGGCCTCTCATGGATACAGAGATTTGTGTGAGAGGCGTCGAGGCGTGATGTCCACCTGTGCACACATGGCGCTATGTCACCTTATTTTTTTCTGGGTGCTGACCCATATTCTTATTCGATATCAACCGTCATCTGATTGGTGAATTTTCTCCGGACGTACTGTGATTACAGGCTCATCGTGACACAACCCTCACACACTTCACATACTCTCAAATACAACGTGACGCTGACAAAATGAATGGGCTCCATTGGAAGGCTGATTAACTCCACGCACAGAGCCGGAAGTGGCAGGTTCCCACTCCCCTCGCCCTGCCATGAACACAGCTCTGTGTATCCCCAACCTTAATTATTCATGTCCCACTTACTCCTGACAAATTATTCAGAGCTCACTCTAATCCTACACTCCCTGTCAAAAGATCACCTATGTGTACATGCTCATTAATTTCATTCAATGAGAATTCAAATTTCATCCAGTTACATCGATTTCTTTCGTTTCGGAAAAAAAAATGCATGAGTTTGACACAGCTGTAATGTTTAATTGACAAGCAGGCTTTGTGTATTTCTCATTTGTAAAAGAACAAAGAAATATGTTGCATAATGTTGATTGATACGTTAGTTTTTAATATATATGATCGTCTATGTTTAAAATCTGTTCACATCAGTCTGTTTTTGACAGACTCAGAGGAGTCCGACACTTTAAACACGTTTCTGTTGGACCCAGTGGATCTTAAAACAGTTTGTTTCAGCAAAAATGATCAACTTATCATTTTATAATGCAACTACGACTGAACAGTTTGAATGTTTATGAAGGATTCACACTATTGTGATCCTTTTTTCTCAAGTACATTTTTCTGTGCGATTCTCATTTGGCAGTTTTCAAACTATTTCAACAAATCATAAATCAAAACTTTCAGCTCTTTCAGGACAATCCCGCTATGACTTTTGCTATTGGTGAAACTTTAGCTTTTTGAAATGTTTAGCCTTTTCTGCCATTTTTTTTCTCATAGAAAATGAATTGAGCTCATCCTTCAAATTGTTAGATATGTTTACAACATTTAATGCTCCTTTTAAATTTTGTTCTGCTTTAGCTTCTTTCAGCTTCCTTATGCAAATTTAAACATTTTTTCAGCTACATTCAACTACTTTCAGCTGTTTTGTGCTCGTTTCAGCTTCTTCTTGGTAACTAAAACATTTTTTGTGCTTCTTCTAACTTCTTTCTGCTAATTTCAGCTTATTATGTGAGCTTCAGCTTATTTCTGCGAGTTTCAGCTACTATTTAGCTGTTTATGCTAATTTAAGCTTTTTCAGCTAATTCCACATTTTTGGCACTCATTTAAACTTTTTTCAGTCTAGTTCAGCAAAAATGTGCTCTGTCCACCTCCTTCTGGTGATTTATGCTTCTTTCTGATTCTTAAACTACTTTTCAGCTGTTTTGAGCTAATTTCAGTTTTTTCAGATAATTTCCGTATATTTGTGCTCAGTTCTGCTTCTTTCAGCCTAATTGTGCAAACATATTTTCTTTCTGCTTTATTCTGCTAAATTAAGCTTGTTCTACCTTTTCACGCCCCCTATTTATTTTTGTGTTTTTAGCAAAATTCAGCTGTTTTCAAATAAGTTCAAGTTTTTCATGGTAATTTTTGATACTTACAACCTAATTAACTTATTTATGGTCATTTCAGTTTGTTATGCTCCTTGCAGCTTTTTTCCTGCTAGTTGCAGCTTTTTAGCTATTTCAGCTACTATTCACCTGTTGTATGCTAATTTTAGCTTTTTCAGCTAATTTCAGGTTGTTGTTTTTTAAGCTCATGTCAGCTCTTTCCACTTCCTTCTGCTAGTTTAAGCTTCTTTCTGCCTATTCCGGCTACTTTTTGCTAATTTCAGCTGTTTATCAACAAGTTCTTCAGAATAAGCATTCACACTGCATTTTTGCAGGAAATGCGATTTCTCTACTTATATTTATATTTGTCTTGAGCAATTGATGATTTAGTTAGAACAATGACAAAATAAGAAAAATTACTCATGACGGTATTGTTGAAACTTCAAGCTAAAATATTTAGTTTCTTTTGACCAAATCCTGAAAATATCTTAATTACTATATCCAATAAAATAAGTTATAGGACAAATAATCACAACTGAGCTCCGTGAAAGTGAAAATGTTCGATAACCGTGCTTAAAAATGATCCGAGGTAAAAAGCAAAGTATTTATTTTTGACTAACAGTTTTTTGGTTTATAAGTGAAAAGATTCAGCTAAATCTGAATTCTGGTTCGTTCATTTCTATTTGGCTTTATGTCAAATGTTTACAACTCTTATCGTTGAGCTGCATTTCAAAAGGCTGCAGCTTCATTAAATCTGATAAACGGAGTAATCTACAAGTAATTTTGGAGGATTTACACATTTTGTATCAGACACACAGACCTCAGAACAGTAAAGAAAGAGTAAAAAAAAAATTGAAGAAAATTGTTAAACGGTGTTAGTTTTATAATTAAACGAGCATTTCTTTAAGAAATGCACATTGTTTACAACTTTGCACGCCAAAGTTTGAAAAAAGCTCCATTTGTGCTCAAAGTATGTGATACAAACGACTCTCAGCCACTACCACTCCAAATTTTAACTCCATTTTTGTAGCACTGCTTGGCTTCAATCCATTTTTGTTTTGAGTAATTTTGAGTAGTTGGGGTGGCCATCTTGAATCAGGCTGACCTCAAAAGTTAATGAGATGTAGATTTACATCCAATGATTACTTTCTGAGAGTTTCATTAAAATATGTCCAGTGAGTAATGAGATATTTTGCTAACAGACAGACAGGACTGACTCCAACAGTTAATGGTAAAGTTTTAATGCGTGATCTGATAGTATAAGTTAGAGATGACCCTCGGCTACTTCCACGCTAAATTTTTGCTCAGTTTTTATAAAATTAAATGAGTTGGAGCCATTTCTGTGTTGATAAGGTTAATTAGCTGTGGCGTCCATCTTGAACTGGATTAACTACAGAAGTTAATCAGATGAACATCCAATGATTTCATAAAAATTTTGTTAACAGACAAGCACTCACACAAGCAGTTTTTTTTTTAAAACACATTTTATGACAGCGGGCGATAGTTCAAAAAATCTGAAGCTGTTCACTCCTCAAGTTTTCGGTCACATCTCGTTTATGTCGACTTGTGGATTTATTGTAAACTTGAAAAAAAAAATCACAGATGCCACTTTAAAAAAAAAAAAATCTAAATCAACCAATCTATGTAATTTTACGTGAAGTAAAATGGTCTCGGCAGCTTTTATTCACCCCATGGACCAAACGTGACCACAGTTTTCTCCACCTTTCTCAAAGTAAATGTTTTCACATCAGATAGAATCGGTTTTCTGATTTTTGCAAGACGTGTAGTTTTAATCCTGATGTCATTCAGTAGAGGAAGTGTGACGACGTCTGACATGTGCCGGGAACGTTACCGTTCTGCATGCGTGACACGCTCTTACCTTCCTCCTCACTCGAGCCCCTCTCCACAGCCGGGTACTGCGGGGGTGTGACGGTGGCGCTCGGTGACCCAGCTGTGCTCTTGGTAAAAATCCCACTGATGAACTTGAGCATCTTGCGATCACGAGGAGGAGCTCGCTGGATTGTTCCTCCCTGACCCTCCTTCCCTTTCTTTAAGTCCTCGGGGTAAGAGTGCAGGTCGCTGTTGTCGAGGGTACAACTTGTACCTTTTCTCGGAGGCCTGGTCACATCGGGGGCCGGAGGTGCAGGTAAAGACACGGACACTGCCTTATATCGCTCGCCCTGAGGGCTGTCCCGGGTCTTCACCCCTGAGAACCCTCCGCTGATGGGAGCTCCCGGCCGGATGAGCGTCCCACGGCCGTCGCTGTCGGCCCAGGATGCCCTGTAAGGCCCCAGAGTCGTGGCCGCCATCAGCGGAGGCTGGTTGTCCCTTCGCTCTAAAGTTTTGGCCGAGTGATACGAGCTTGTGTTGAGCTCCCTCCAACATGTGGAGTTCCCTCCTGCGTGTGGCCTCATCACGACTTGGGGAAGCTGGCCGATCTGCTGCGAGGCAGAAAAGGGGAGACTGGAACGTGAGCGGGTGTTCAAGTCTCCTCCGTTTTCCCCCTTTAGGAACAGGGCAGGAGGCTCCCGGTACAACTCTGTCTTAGGGCGTAAGGCATCTGAGCGGGGCCCCTCTCTGCGCATGGGCCCCTCAGAGAAAGTTCCCCCATACACTTTAACCATTTGCCTGGCGGGTGGATGTATAAAAACTGGATCTTTGCTCTTTCCAACCGGTACAACGTCTTTTTGGAGCGCCTCCTTCCTCTCAGGCTTATCCCTGTTCTCAGTCGGGCTCCCATACTTGACGTGATGCACTTGTTCCACTTCCTCCTCCACCTGTGCGATTTCCTTCCCCCCTACTTCCAAACACAAAGGTCCTTTCTCCTTTTCAGGGGCATCGCTCACGCTCTCCTTGTTCTTCTCCTCCTTATCCTTCTTAGGGCTCCCTTCCCCCTCTGGAGGGCCCTCCGACTGGTTCCCTGCGACATCCTCTGGCACGGCCTCAACCTTCACCAGAGTGAGGGAGATGAGGTAGGTGGTGCGCCGCTGCGTGCTGCCTGCTTGGCTCATTGGGACAGCAGACCTCAGCGTGGTGGCACCTGCTCTCTGACCTCACAGGATCTGCACACCTCAGTCATGGCAACAGGGCTGAAACAGAGGAAACACAAAATCCATCAATCGAACTCGTTATGTGACATCAGGCTGCTGGAATAACAACAACAATAATAATAATAATAATAAACATATCAAACATGGAATCAGTTGGAAAAACGGACATTTACATATATTCGAAGAGCTGACCCAGTGGTTAAACAAGTCTAGACTGTTTTTTTTAAAGCCTCCATTATTCCTCTTCAGTACACACCACTACAACTGGTGTCCACCACCAGTTCATTCACAATCTTTCCCTTTATGCCTTTTCTTTTTTTAAATTTTGTCCTAATCTGAAAATAGACATGCAGTCAGATTAAATAAGACATTTTGTTTTTCCTCTGAGTCTGTGCCTTAGATCGCAGCCTGGAATTATGCAACAGTCTGTACCCTCGGCTGATCCGTTTTCTTGCCTAGATTATAATGAATGCAGATTGAATAAATGCCACTTTATGGTACGGTGTGTGTCTGAGCTTCAACCCCCCCTCCTATATCATACCTTCATTTTATTCCAGTAGAATATCCATTCGCAGCTCCGTGTATGTTTGATGGGATGAATTCATCCTGCCATGAGAACGCCACTCAAATCAAATGGCATATCAAAGGAGGCTGATAGAAAAACCGCCTGATGATGAACCCAAGATTTTTCAAGAACAGTAAATAGGAAAGAGGGGAAAAAAATGGAAATCATTCAATTGTCACGAAGCGTCTGGCAAGTGGAGCCTCCGTTCGACAATGTCATGCACAGAATAATGTGCACGGTGCGAGGGTCACTGAGAGATGCTCAAACATCTGTTGTTGCGCTTGCAGAAAGGAAGAAAAGGGGGATCAAGTAGCCGGATTCAGGGGTCCAAGCGATGCTTTCTTGTGCCCGTATCCCTCATCCGGAGAGCAGCTCCTCTTGGTCACTGCATCCTCTCCTCCGAGAGCCTCATCCAATTAGCAAGTCAATAAAATGTGTCTGTGAGGCAGAGGAAGCCCAGTAGCTCACCAAAGCCTGCCCCTCCTCCTTTGTCCCCCCCTCCTTCTCTTCTTCTTCTCGCTGCCACTGAAGCCTTGCAGCTCTCCTCTACCCCACCGTCAGCCTGCTGCACAACCAGCCTTGCACAGGATGCAGCTCCAGCAATTAGACTGGGAGTAAGAGGCGGCAGCAGTGGTGGTCCCTGCCCACGTTCATCAGATTTGTCTCTTATCTGTGCCGACACAACAAACGAGACAGGGGGTGCAAAAAGAGAGAGGGTTAGGAATCAGCTCTGCTCCTGCCACAGCCTCTGTGCTGTCTCCAGCTTCTTTCAGCTCCCAGTTTCTCCCCGATTTTTACTCCATGTTCCCTGTGAAAGTACAGCTGAGGACACGCAGCATGGACAAATCTGAAGTGAAATCAAATTAAAGATGAACAAATTGTAATAAGAAGGAACAATTTATGTGCACAGAAGTATATAAATGTGATCAAAGGAGAGATAAAAACAGAATTTTGACAACACTGCTCAGGAATAAGATCAGTTTTCACTCCGCACTAATCAGCTTAAAGCTGGTCACTCAGAAATACAGATGTTCCTGACTTAAAAATACAGAATATTTGCACCAAACCCTGTACTGGGGTTGTTGGAAACCTAGAGTTGTCCTAAACATCCACATTGAAATGAGGAGAACACCTAATCCATCTCTTATGATGTAGAAGTGAATATTTTTAATGAAATCTCGACATTGTGGCTAAGTTTAATATTTATGAAACCAAAACAGTTCTGACGTAAAACAGCCACTTTTCATTTTGGGAGTCAATAATCATTCAATCAAACTAAAAATTGGTTTAGTTTAAAGTGAAACCAAAGAACATGAAGAATCAAACACAGTGACTTTTTGTTAAATTCATATATATATATATATATATATATATATATATAAAGTAAGTCAATAACACTATTTATCTGAGGAGCAGACTGCTTTGAATTTAACTCCATCACAGAACTCTCATCTTGAGCAAGCATGAAGGTGACAGTGGAAAGGAAAAACTCCCTCATGAGGAAGAAACCTTTAGCAGAACCAGGCTCAGGACAAGCGACCATCTGCTTCGACCGGCTGGGTTTGAGAGGAACAGATACACAATGGCAGGTCAAGAATCACAAGTTAAGATAGAAATATAAAATGAGAACTATTAAATTTTTTAAATTAATTTGAGGAAATTAGGTCAATTTGTCCTCCATTAGTCTAAGCCTATGGCAGCACAAGCCAAAAGTAACTATAGGATTTATCAAAAATTAAAGTCTTAAGCCCAGTCTTAAAACTGGACAATCTGTCAGCCTCACGGACAGAAACTGGAATTTGGTTCCACAAGAGAGGAGCCTGATAACTGAAAGATCTCCCATCCATTCTGCTTTTGGAAACTCTAGGAACCGCAAGTAAGCCTGCAGTCTGAGAGAAAAGAGCTCTGTTAGAAAAATATGGAACAATAAGATATTGAATATAAGATGGAACTAGGTTGTTGAGGGCTTTGTAGGTTAGAAGTAAGATTTTGAATTTAATACTGGATTTGACAGGGAGCCAATAGAGAGATATGATCTCTCCTACCAACTCCAGTTAAGACTAAAAAATTTAAAATCTTCCAAACCACGTATTTTATTTTGGTGATAAGAAAACAGAAATCTACTGTCAGCTACTACTACTACTACTATTAAGGAAACCCCGAAGTGCAAACAAAGACCAATCTATTTTCTACATTTATGAGAAAATCTTGTCACTTTTTGAAATGAGCTACAGCATTAATAAAATTACTATTAAAATTTTAAATAATGTTTTGTTCTGCCCTTTTGGAAGAGAAGGTTCAAGGTTTCTTACATTAAAAAAAGAAAAGGTATACCAGGATCTAAGATATACGTTAAACAATAATATAATAAGATGTTTTAAACAGCAGCCTGAACATGAGTCTGTTGTGAGCAGATGGGTATGACTATAGCAGCTTATGGGTAAGAAATCAGCAGCATGGATGATCAGCTTGAAAGAGTTTGAAGTAAAAAAAATCTGTCTTGTGTATTTGTGCAGATATAAATGACTTTATGAATTTTATAAACAACTCTACCACAAGTTGTGTTCTTTGACTGTAATGCAAAGTTAAAGGTTTGGACCCAGCAGAACCCGACACTGTGTTACACGTACAATCAACTGGATTCATGTTTTAAATCCTCACATTTTAAAGTTAAAACTGGAGCTAAGTTAAGCTAAAGCTAAAATGTTAAGACTGGTACAGGACATGTGTGAGAACAGCAGGACAGTGGTGAGATGTGCTGTAGGAGTGACAGATGGCTTCAAGGTGGAGGTGGGAGTGCATCAAGGATCAGCTCTGAGCCTCTTCTTGTTTGTTCTGGTGATGGACCGACTAACAGATGAGGTCAGGCAGGAACCTCCATGGACTATGATGTTTGCAGACAATATTGTGATCTGTGGAGGGAACAGGTGGAAGAGAACTTGGAGAGGTGGAGGTATGCACTTGAAAAAAGAGGAATGAAAGTCAGCCGTAGTAAGAGAGTACATGTGTGTGAATGAGAGGGAGGCCCGTGGAACAGTGAGGCTACAAGAAGCAGAGGTCACAAAAGGTGCAGGACTTCAAGTACTTGGTATCCAAGAAAATGGGGAATGTTGTAAACAAGTGAAAGAGAGTCCAGGCAGGATGGAGAAAAGTTTCAGGAGTGATTTGCAAAAAATGGGTGTCAGCAAAGGTCCAAGGAAAAGTTTACAAGACAGTAGTGAGACCAGCTATGTTGTATGGTCTGGAGACAGTGGCACTGACAAAGACAGGAGACAGAACTGGAAGTGGCAGAAATGAAGATGTTGAGGTTTTTCTTAGGAGTGACAAGGATGGATAAGATTAGGAATGAGATCATCAGAGGTACAGCACAGGTTGAACAACTGGGAGATAAAGTTAGAGGCAAGACTGAGATGATTAGATATGTCCAAAGGAGGGACAGTGGGTATACAGACCCTTTCCAAAAAATTAGAATATTGTTGAAAAGTTGTTTTAACTTCCATAATTCCATTCATAAAGTCAATCTTTAATAGAAGATAGGTTCAGGGCCCACAATTTAAACGATTTCAAGTATTTATTTGTTTATTTTGACATAATTTGGGCTTCCAGCTCATGAAACCCACAAAAACAGGAATTCAAAAAACTAGAATACTGTGAAGACATCAGCCCACACTACTTCTCAGTTTTTGCAGGAAAAAAAAAGAAAGAAATTAAGATCACAACAAATCAATCAAAATATGGTACTTTCAAAACGATATGTCAATCTTCAATACTTGGTTGTATTTGCCTTAATCTCTGCCTCGATGCAACGTGGCATTGAGACAATCAGCCTGTGGCATTGACTGGGAGTTAATGGAAGCCCAGATTTCCTTGATGCTGTCAGCTCTTCTTTGTTGTTGGGTCTGGTGCTCCTCATTTTCCTCTTGAGAACACCTCATAGATTCTCAATGGGGTTTAGGTCCGGCGAGTTGGCTGGCCAGTCAAGCACTGTGGCATGGGCATCAAACCAGGTTTTGGTTCTTAATGTGGCATGGGCAGGGGCCAGGTCCTACTGGAAGATGAATGCATCTCCATACAGATCCTCAGCAGAAGGAATCATGAAGTCCTCTAAAACATTCTGGTAGACTGTTGCAGTGACCTTAGATTTAAGAAAGCAGAGTTTACAAACACCTGCACCGGACATTGAACCCAAAATCATGACTGACTGTGGATATTTCACACTGGACCTCAAGCAGTATGGGCTCTGTTCCTCACCCTTCTTCCTCCAAACACTTGGACCTTGATTTCCGAATTTTACTTTCATCGGAAAAAAGGACCGAGAAACCCGACAGTTGTAGCCCATCTCTCGGATGCGTGTGTATGTGGTGGTTTTTGAAGCTGTGACTCTCGCCTGATTCCACTCTTTCTGGATCTCTGCCAGATTCTGGAATCTTCTCTGTTTGATAATACACTGAAGCCCACAGTCATCTCTTGCTGGTGCATCTTCTCCTGCCACATTTTGCCCTTCCACTAGACTTTCCATTGATATGCTTGGACACAGCGCTCTGTGAACAGCCAGCCTCCTTAGCTATGAACTTTTGTGGCTTACCCATCCTATGGAGGGTATCAATGATGGTCTTCTGGACAGTTATGTCTGCAGTCTTCCCCATATTGAACCGAACTGAAACAATTGAACCAAACTGAAGCAACTTAAGACACCTGGGGAAACCTGTGCAGGTGCTTTGAGTTTAGTAGATGATTAGTGTCACACTCAGTTTAAAACGTCCAAGCCTTGCAAAATTTGGGCTGATTTCTCCACAGTATTCAAATTTTTTTTTTAATCCTGTTTCGTGGGTTTCATGAGCTGTAAGCCCAAATTATGTAAAAATAAACAAATAAATACTTGAAATTGTTCAAATTGTCAGTCCTGATTCTATCATCTATTAAAAATCAACTTTTTGAATGGAATTATGGAAGTTAAACAACTTTTCCATGATATGCAAATTTTTTGGAAAGGGTCTTTATTGGTAGAAGGATGCTAGAAATGCAGCTGCCAGGAAAAAGACAAAGAGGAGATATATGGATGCAGTTAGAGACGACATGGAGGTAGTTGGAGTGAGGACAGAGGGTGCAGAGGAAGAGTGAGATGGAGAAGGATGACTCGCTGTGGCGACCCCTGAAGAGGGATCAGCCGAAAGAAGATTTTAAAAGCTAAAACAGTCTCATGTTGCTGCTAAATTTATTTGTTTCAGCTGCTTCCTTCCTCAAGGATCAGTGAGCGAACTCGCATGAATTGTTTTACATCAGATGTCCTTCTGGACGCAACCACCGAGCTCCCACAGCCCACATGTGGGGCTGCCATATAGGGTGCTCAAGGGAGCAGATGGGGGAGTAAATGCCTTGCTCAAGGGCCCAGAGTGGGGTAAATAAGGCAGACAGGTGCTTCAAATTCCCACTCAACTTCTGTCACTATTCCCCCTCAAAAATGTTGCTGCTCTAATTTAAAGCTCAAAACATTTGTTACACGAGTCCCCCACTCACAGTTCACTGTGCAGGATGAGTTCAAGTCATTTCACACTCGGTATCTGGGTCCTTCGTTTCTCTTGCCTCCAGATGGAAAAAGAGCATTAATAACAATCACCATCAATTTCCTTTACCTGCTTCTTCACGCAGGGCTGCAGGCAGCTGGTGCCCATCTTCATCAGTCATCGGGCAGGAGGCGAGCGACGCCCTGGACAGGTCTCCAGTCCATCACAGGGACACCCTGGACAGGTCTCCAGTCCATCACAGGGACACCCTGGACAGGTCTCCAGTCCATCACAGGGACACCCTGGACAGGTCTCCAGTCCATCACAGGTTCTCTTAGACAAACGTTCATTCTCAACCAGAGCTGTCAATCAACCCAACATGCATCTTTTGGGACTGAAGGGGGAAACCAGAGAACGTCCACAAGGTATTAAAAACAATTTATTTGTCCAGATTGAGTTGATCACTGGGGTAGAAATTTTTTACTTTCCAGTAACTTTGAGTTCATTTTATTAGAGAAAAAAGCTCCAATTACAAACTTGTACCTTTTAATCTTTTTCAACAAATGAAAAGTTAAATTTTATAGTCTACAGATCATTTGCTCAGGTTTTTAAATAGTAAGAAAGCATTTACATTTGTTTTTATTCAACGTGACCACAGCTTTACTCCTTTAAACGGGAACCGATTTGATTATTAAACGAATAAAAGTTCTTCTCAAAAATATGAAACGTTACAGAAATTAAAATGTACCTAAACGCTTTAAGAGAAAGCGTTTGTAATGACCAAGTATATAAACTCCATCAACGTCACAGAAATAATCAAGGTTAGGCTCAGAAAGAAAATATTTTTAATCGGCGAGACAAAATAAAAAAATGAACACAACTTATAGATGTGCAGAAATATAAAACAGTTGTGTACTTAAGAGCAATTTACTGGGTATTAGTTATGATTCATTGATTCTTTTACACCAATATCTGTACAATAAAACAAATTACCTGTCACAGCAATAAAATCAGTTATTTTATTTGTGATTGCAGTTAGCAACAAAACAAAAATCCACAAAAATACTTTTATTTGGTGAGATAATACAAAGGCAATACCAGGATTTTTGTACTAGGTGCTTTTCTTGTAACGGTTTCATACTATTCATTTTGCATGATTTAAATACAGATGTGTTCATTTCTGTGTCTTACTTTGCTTTCTGCGTGATAAACATCCACACATCGTAAAATGTACAATCGAACACGCGTCAGCGACTCCGCGAAGTAACAAAAGCAGCATTTTCAGACGAAACATTCCTGTTCACCATCAAAAACACCGGTACTGTTCTTTTAGCTGTATTACTGTAACGTTATTTGTGACATTTACAAGTTCAGCATTAACTGTGGTCCACAAGTTCATCCTCTCCGGCCGCATCGTTTGGTCCTCGTTCCTCCTGCAGGAGCAACAAACCAAGGCCACACTCAAAAGGCAACGCAGAAAATTAAACCCTAAACTTAAGAGACCGTTAGCTCCCGCTGCTGTTCTCTACCGCCTGACTTCAACTATTTGTCTGAGTCGACGTCTCCTCGTCGTGGAAATATGGATGTTCAAGTGCGTTCAGGGCCGATATTCGCTTCAAAGGGTCAAACGTCAGCATTTGCTGTGAAGGAAAGAAAACAATAAAATGAAAAAATAAAATGAAATACAAACTATATATATTTTTTTAACTTAACCTTTTAAACAGATACCGTATAAGTCGCACCTTTTTACATAAATTTGCATGTCCTGCGTTTTATACACTGAAGCGACGTATTTAAATATATATTTTTCTTATATTTAAAACCAATTTTTGTCTGAAATCTGACGATTTCGTTCATTCTGACATGGAAAATATTGAGCATTACCATTTTCAGCCACTAGAGGGCCCTCAAGCAACATGGCAAGCCAAGTGTTTCATTAATAGGTAAAAGTGGCTATTAATGAGACACTTGGCTTGCCATACAAAGCCACCTTTGTCTCGTTCTGGAACTCCTGGCGCAAACATTAAATCAGCTGCGTTTCGCTGCACTGCCCAGGCGAAATGCCATTAAAGTGCATTTATTACGATAAGTTAAACTGAGACGCACCTTTACTATAATTTTGAGCAAACAAATTGTTTTTAAGTGTTAATCTTGTTAAATTCTTGTTAAAGTCCTCCCGTGCACTCTCCCGTGGCTGCCATTTGGCAGCCAATCTATTTGTGGCACAACACCGGCCCACGTTTCTGGGTGGTCAGCGGTGACACATAATAGATTCAACTTATATGGCAAAGCGACTTATTTGTGTTTTTTTCCACTTTATCAGATATATTTGGACTGATACGACGGTGAAACGTGTACGGCGGAAAGTACGGTAATTTCATTGAGTCATGAGAACTCATTTTCAAGACAGCCCTGTTTGGGAGCAGATGGTGGGGGTTAAGAGCCTTGCTCAAGGGCCCAGAGTGGGTCAAATGAGCATGGAGGCAGGTATGGGTGTTTCACCTTTTCCACTCACATTTTTTGATCTTGGCACAGGGAGTTGAACCGGCAACCTTCTGATCACAGCCCACCTTCTCTAACCTCTGCGTCACCACTCCCTATGTGGCTCTGGTTTATAACACACTCTTTTAATCCTATCCTGAAAATGTGCAGTAGCAAACAAGCAATCCAAAAATCTGACATTTATCTCAGTCCATGAACGCACCGTAACTAAGCATAAATTCCTCATTTGTAAAACCTTTAAAAAAAAATTCCAAGCAAAATTCTAAAGCAGGCAAATGAAGATTTAATAGTTTGATATGACTGTCAAGCTGTATTCTGCCATGCACATAGAAATAAATGCACAAATTAACACATTTCATAGTAAATAGTTGTGTAAAATATTTTAAAAACACTGCTGAACTTGTTTTAAATGAAGCCAGTAATATTGTGAAAATCTATATTTTAAAAAGCGCAAAGAAATTAAGGAAAGCTCATAAAGGAGATATGCCATCATTAATTTTTTCTCTTGAGGTTTAACTGGTAGCTCTGACTTGCGTTTTGTTTTATTTGTTTATATTTTACTTCCATATAAATGTATATTTCTTTAAGTTTGCTTAAAGGCACATATTTTGTACTGGTTGTGATCTCAAAAACGAACCACATTAGTCCTCGAAGATTCACATTTGGCATTTATTTATTTATTGTATTGTCTCATTTCTATGGGCAGCTGTGGCTAAGTGGTTCGAGCGGTCGTCCTCCAATGCAAGAGGTGGGGGTTCGAATCCACCAGCAGTCACATGCTAAAGTGTCTCTGAGCAAGACATTGAACCCCTCGTTGCCTCCGATGTGTGTCCCATCAGTGTATGAATGTGATAAAGCTCTGATTAGTCTGTAAAGATCTAGTAGAGTGCTGTCTGAATGGGTAAATGCTTCACAGATTGTTGTGTAAAGTGATTGGAGTATCTTGATATGATAGAAAGGTGTTATACAAGTACAGTCCATTTACCATCTATTTATGTGCAACTGATCTTTTCATTTGCATATAAGTTAGGAGGGACGTGACCACATCTATTTGTTGCTAAAATCAGGAGTGATAATCAGATAATAATAATAATCTGCCTTACCATCAAAAGTTTGGACCCCTGCTCATCTATCTCTGGAACAAAATCTGTGATTGGGCGAGCTTTGACCGGGGCAAAGTTCCTTCTTGTTACTGTAACACCGGCCGGCCAGTCCTCCTCCGGCGGCAGTCCGATGACCCTGGAAGGACAAAATTGTTGAAAGCAGACTTTTTTTACTTAGTCCTAGTCGCTGATGCAATGCAAACTCCGTTACTCACTCAAAAATCTTCCCAAGCTGGTCCATTTCTGATTCTCCACAAAACAACGGTCTAAAAAAACAAAAAAAAAAACAGAGCAAGTGTAAGGTTGACTAAAAGACCGGAGACGTTTGTCTGCAGCAATTTCTCTCGTTTGTGCTCGACGGCAAACGGAAACAGGACGTTCTTTAAACAAGCTTACACGAGCTGGATGCTTATCAATGACAGTATGAGGCAAAACATAAAAACAGCTTTATTTTAACTTAATTGATGTTGTTTTACTTTGTTTTTAATACAGGACTCTTTTTACTGGTTCGGTGTTTTAAGCGTTAAACTTTTGCTCTTATACATCGTTTGTTCTGTAAGGCACTTTGGGCTCTGCAGTGAAGTATTTTATAAATAAAACTGGTACGATCCGGTTAAACGATGTTGTTAGATTATCATCCTTTTCATATTAATAGTCCATAAAATAATTTAAACACATTAACTACATGGAGAATATTTTTCACCACATGATGGAGCCACTGCGCACATCACTGGGCTAAACAACTCCAGCTGTGATCATCTCTAAATGAAACCTTTGTTTTAATTCAGCCTGCGAGATGTGGACCGTCGTCGACTCAGTGAAACAGGAGTTTGTTAACAAAACGTAAACAGAAAAGCTCAGCATCTATTTTAAACCCAAAATCATTAAAAGTTATATTAAAGTGAATAAACCAGATCATTTCCTTTTCATCCCTCTAAACTCTTCTAGAGGCAAACACCATTTCTTCTCAGACGCTCACAGATAAACTAATGATTCAAATCATGTACCAAAATTATATAAAATAATCTACATTCCAACATATGAACAAGAATTTACAGTACAACGATATGATTTTTCTTCCTGAACGGCGACTCACTTGCATCGGAACATCTCACTGAAGATGCAGCCGGTGCTCCAGATGTCCACAGGAGTAGCATATGTGGACTGCAGCAGAACCTCAGGAGGTCGATACCACAGAGTCACTACCTAGAAGACACAAACACAGAGCCCACAAATGTTACTAATCCCACAGATTGGGGTAATAACCTGTCGGTAACAAATCTTTTTTTTTTTTACAGTTTAACTGAATTTTAGCTGAATTTTGTTTTGTTCCAAAGCTTTCCACACATATTTAGGTAAATAAAAATAAAAATTCACAAGGTATTATTATGCTTCAATATATATATTGAATATAAACCAGGTTAAAACCAAAATTCTAGCATAAGCACAGTAAACACCACCTACTAAACCCTTACGGGAGGACTTTAACAAGAATTTAACAAGATTAACACTTAAAAACAATTACTTGTTTGCTCGACTTTATAGTAAAGGTGTGTCTCAGTTGAACGTTTCCTTAATAAATGCACTTTAATGGTTAAATTTGCTGCATTTCGCCAGGGCGGTGCAGCGAAATGAAGCTGATTTTACATTTGCTCCAAGTAGCAAGCAGAACAAAGGTGGAATCTATGACAAGCTGATTATGTCATTAATAGCTGATGAAGATTCTCAGTTATCCAGGTTCAAGCCAAAAACAATAAAGTAAAGTATAATAAAAAAAGTCCAGTTGTTTTGTCCTGAATTTTTTTAATTTGTCATTATAGCTACTCTATTACATGATACAATGGCATGCCTTAATACTCTGCTACCATCTAGTGGCTGAAAATGGTACAGTTCAATGTTTTTAGTTAGAATGAAAATGGTCATATCTCAGTCAAAAATTAGTTTATAAAAATGGGAAAAAAATAAATAAATATGTCACTTCAGCCTATAAGTCGCAGGGCATGCAAATTATTTTTTTAAAAAGCAACTTGTACGACGAAAAATACGGCAACCAGATAAAATTCCTTTAGTATACACTTTAACATCCAGCAGGTTCTGTTGGATCAAAAACAATTAGAGCAGTGGGGAAAAAAAAAGTTGAAATGACAACCTGTAAAACGAAACATCCAGAAACATAATCTTAGCATGGAGCTGTAAAACAACCCTGCACGGGGCAGACATGAACTTTTCGCTCTGAAATGTAAACCGTGACTTTATTTTTTAGCTTCTAAAGCCCTTAAAGCAACAGTCCAGCTCATTTGAAGTGGGGGTTTGTGGAAAGTTTATGAAAAATATCTTCCTGGCTGTGGATACCACTTTGAACAACCTCAGAGACTTTAATTCAGAATGACACAATAACAGCTAATTTGAAAATAAGGCGGGGGTGGGGTTTTCTATCATTTTATCATAAAATAATTATAACAGTTCATAGAGGTGGGGTTAACATCTATTTTAAGATGCATTACCTTTTGTGCATGATTAATTCTGAATACATTTTCTCAAATCAAAAATATATTTTCTTATTTTAATCTGTGCATCCAGTTTAGGATAAACATCATAAGATTACCAGATTACTAGAATCACTTTCTTCTATATCACTTGGAAACATCTTGTCCCAAAATAATTCAGAAAAGCTGATCCATGCATTTATCACTCCTATAGGTTGGACTGCTGTAGATCTTTATAATGTGGGTGTCCAAAAACTCTTTAAAAAGTTTTCAGCTGATACAAATCCTGCTGCTAAAGTTCTGACGAGAGTTAGAAAAAGAGATCGTATTTCTCCAGTTTTAGCTTCCACTGGCTTCACGCTCAGACTGCAGGTTTACTTGTGGTTCCTAGAGTTTCTAAAAGTAGAATAGGAGGCAGAGCTTTCAGTTCTCAGGCTCCTTTCTTGACGTCCCATCTTACTTTAAAGACTAGGCCCAAGAATTTCCTTTTTGATTAATCCTATACGTAGTTAAGAGTTAGCGTGGGTTTCCTGAGCTATCCCTTAGTTATGCTGCTATAGGCTTAGACTGCTGGAGGACAAACTTGTTTACTCTTTTCTTTTTTACAAAATGTGTTTTGGTATTCATAAAAAAATAAGTGCTTTTTTTTTTTTTTAAAGAGGCCCACAAAAAGATGGGCGTGGCTAAAAGCAGCTGACCAGTGTTAAAAACCATTTCCTCTCTGCTGTTGTCTTTACTTGCTCTACTGTTTGTTTGTATTTGCATTTTTTTTCCATCATTAACGTGTTTCTTTGTCTTTCTTCCAATAGAAAGTACACCTGGACCTGCCATCCTGTGTGTGTTTCTCCTTCCTGTCCTCTCAAACCCCAGCTGGCCGAAGCAGATGGTCACTCGTCCTGAGCTTGGCTCTGCTGGAGGTTTCTTCCTGTTAATAGAAGGGTTTTCCTTCCCACTGTTGCCTGTGTGCTCGCTCAGGATGGCAGACTGCGACAAAGTGAAGATTCAACGCAATCTGCTGGCTTCTTTAGATAGATACCATACCACTTTATTTATAAAGCACTTAAAAACAGCAACAAGGCCAGCCAAAGTGCTGATAGATGGATAACATTTACTAATTGGAATTGTATCATGTACGTGAATGTTTCTGTACAGCGCGCTGAGATGGTTTTTACTGTGAATTGGCACCATTTAAATAAACTGAATTTAACTGGAACTGAAATAAACGTGTATCCCAAACGGACTAAAGTGTGAAGGTTACAGGTTAGTTTTGTATGAAATAGTCCTACCACAGGAGTGAGAGCCATGTGGCAGCTGTAGACCTTGGCGAGTCCAAAGTCAGCCAGCTTCACCTGACCCTGACTGGTCACCAGAATATTCTCCGGTTTCAGGTCTCTGTGCATCACATGGTTAGAGTGAAGAAATGCCAGGCCACACAGCAGCTGCCTCATCAGATCCTGCAATAAAGCAACCATGGCACAGCAAAACCAAAACATGTTTTAAATTAAAGTAAAGTTTAAAGACAAAATTATAAAACCCACATTTAGTTTAGTTCTCACTTTAATGCGGTTGGGAGATAACCCTGCAGCTGGAGCTCTCTCCAAGTATGTCTTCAGGTCTTGATCCACATGCTCAAACACCAGAGTGACTTTGGTTTCCTGAGCCGACCTCTGGGTGGCACAGACGTCCATAAGCCTGGTGGTACAAGAGAGGAAAACATGACAACTTGTGTCAGAGGTGAAAACGGCAGACAGTAGGTAAAAACACTTCGTGACCATGTTACCTGACCACGTTGGGGTGGTCAAACTGCTCGAGCCGTCTCAAAAGTGCTACCTCTCTGACCGTGGAAACAGGAAGGCCATTTTGGTCTGTTTGGACACGGACGTTCTTCAGAGCCACAAACTTCCCGCTCTCGGTGTCCCGGGCTTTGTAAACGGTCCCGTACGCACCACCGCCAATTTCTGCCACCGGCTCGTAATGGAGACTGGTGCAATGGGCCATCGTTCAACCAGACTAAAAAAACAAAAGGTGCAAAACACACAGAAAAGTGACAGTTTAAATGCTACGATGGAAGACTTTTTTGTTTGTTTTTTGAGTTAAGAAGTCAGATGAAACGTGGCCTTCCAGGATGAAAAAAGAAAATAGTGCCTCGCTACTTCTCGGTTCGACTTTCACAGACTTGTTCTTTCGCAGTTTTTCAATGATTGTAAAATTTAATATTACTCATGTGATTGGGATGGTATGGAATAAAAAGTTAACGAAAAAATACTTGGGACAGGCACCGACATTTTGTAGTTTTCTTTCAATTAGCCTACGCTGTAATGCCAGTCAAAAAAGAACTACACTACCCAGAAGTCAGAGCTTCTGGCCACTGCTTTCTGCCAAAATGGAGTGAAAGTTTTCATTCGATCCGAACCGGACTAAAAAGTTTGGTCCTTATTCATAGTGACTTTGGTGCTCAGTGGATGCAGAGAACCAAACGGAACCCACTGGGAATTGGACCAGGACTACTTCCAGCTTCACTGGTCAATCCGAGAGCTGCTTGCCGGCCCAGGGAGCCTCTCGAGGGGGGAGGCGTTGCTTGAAGGTCCGGTGTCTTCTACAGAGCTCACCCGGACTTTATTCATCCGGATCCCTATTTGGACTCGATCGGGCCCATCGTGTGGTTTTGTGCTGGCTTTCTGAAGGTCCGGCTCTCTCTAAAAGCATCTTGTGCTCAACGGCTGCAGAGCGCCGATCAGAACTGGACCAGAACCAAACCAAGGCTGGCGAGTACCTATATACAGTAAAATTTAGCAGTAGCTACTGTAAAGTATGTTGTTAAAATTATGTAGGTTTATGAGTTTAGAACATTGCAAGAATGTGGTTTATAAAGCCTTAAAATATATATAAATACTAAATATAGCACCCCTACTTCATGGTTTTTCCACCTATCACAGCAGGGGGTGTGGAACGTAACCCATGCGATAATAGAGGGACTATGTAAATAAAATAAACTTTAATCCAACATTGTGAAATTTTCTAGTTTATCCAATTTTTTTTTTCATACTTAAGAAATTAACTGTGAAAAACTAAAATCCCCAAATCAGGAGCGTTAGTTCTTCTGGAACCATGAACAAATGATATTTGACTACATTTACATTGCACAATACAGAAGAAATTCTCAAAACAATCTTTTTCAACCAAATTACAAATGTAGTCCAAAAGTAAGTTGACCACTGCTCTGAATGTAAAATGCATGTTTAAGCAGAAACACGTTCTGCAGAACCCATTGCAACACTGTCTTCAAGAGATTTTTTTTAGGGATGCACAGAATCACCAGCATGGTATCGGCTGATATTAGCGTTAAATATCGGCCATTCCATTAAAATAACTCACCGATATAAAAGATGCTGTTTTTGTATGACAACCCAGTGACGAGGACGCCTGCAGCACCAGCACAACTCGATGACATCACACGCACCTACCTGATCTGATCGCGGCAGAGAGGAAAATTCAAAATGTCGGCGGTGTGGAAGTTTTTTCCGTTGATGATATTGGATTTTGAAGATTTTTGGACTTCGTTGAACCTCACTACATCATCCTCAGTCAAGAAATATTTTTCCAACATAGCCTTACCTGAGCTACAAGCCGTCATTTCAGACGTCATTGAGAAGCTAATAGCCGATAGCACTTGGGTGAGTTTTACCACAGACATGTGGACGTGAAGTGTTAGCCCCGTTAGCATGATTTGTCTTACAGCACAATGAATAGACAAAAACTTTGAACTTAAAAAGGCTGTCCTTCGTGCACAAGAGTGCAGAGGATCCCACACTGCAGCTATAGGAACCTGGAACAAACCTCCACAAGTGAAACAGCATCGCAGGTGCCTAATGCTAATAAATAACATTTAACATTTTTCATTTAATATAAGTCAAAGTGCTATGCATATCATATGGCTGTTACTGAATATATGTCACCAGCTCTTACGCAACTTTTGTAGCAAATAAGCCTAAATAAGAGGGCTATGTTCTGACAAAGGAAAGTATATTAAAAGTATTGGTATCGGCCAAAAATCCAATATCGTGCATCCCTAGATTATTTCCTAGTTGCTCAAAATTTTAATTCTTAAGACCTACAGGCAGGAAATAGGCACCCAACTAGAGAGAAAGTCATCCTACCCCTTCCTTTTCTTTAAATCAAACCAGTTTGGTAGATTTCCCCAGTTCACCCAGAACCCTCTAACCTACTTTCATCCATTCAAACCTGTCCACCGTCTCAAAATCAACAGAAGAGTCTTTTAGAGGCCAGCTTTCTTTAAAGCGTCGAACAATGAGCAATCAAGCACACGTTAAAGGATCCGAGCACTCACCCGGAGCAGTGAGCAGCTGTAGGTGTCCTGTTGCCTTTGTTAGGTACGACACGTGGTTTGTGTCTCTGCAAGTCTTGTTCCTGCTTTTTTCGTCCACCTAATCACTGGCAGCATTTCTGCTGAGTAAAAGTGTCACAGATAAAGGTAGATCCACCCTTCCTGTTCGGCAACAACAAACACTGGACCTTAGAGGTCTTTTTTAAAGAAGCTCGTAAACTTCTTTGGACTAAACCCCGAGTGGCTCTGTTAAAAAACATCTCGAGGAGAAATGATTGCAATAAAAGGAAAAGTGACTTCAGCTTGATTTCAACAACCCTCTCAAACTCTACACATCCACCAAAAGTAGACCCTGAAAGTTATTACCTTGATTTCCACTTTATTTCAAGTATAATTAATATTTATGAGGCTGCCACAGTTATAACTTGAACATTTGTTTTGAATTAAACATTTCAATTTTTAGACAAAAGCTGCATAAAAAAGTGATATTGACTGTAATTTTTTAAAGATGACTTTGTTAATAACTTTTTTTAATATTATAAATTGCCATTTTTACTGAATTTATAGATGCGCCAATTGCTCTGAAAAAGGATAGATGCTGATCATTTTTGCCTTGACAAGTTCGTTTTTTTTTTCCGGGCCATGAATGCATCACAGCTTGGCACTCCCTTGAACACACCATCAGTTACAAATCTAAAAGTGATTTTTTTTTTTTTCTCCAATATTATGTAGGAACTTAGTGTAAATCATTTTAAACTGAGGTCTCGCAGGCAACAAAAAGGATTTATCCTGTTATATAGAGACTTTTTGTTTTCAGGAATGCAAATCAAAATCACAATGGTACAAGGTGGTCTATAAAATGGGATAATCGTAATTATTTTATGTTAAAATTTTACTTCTGTTCGAAAACTTGGAAGGACGTTATTTATTAATTTTCAGTAGCAGAAAAAAAATATGACCTGGTGCAAGTTTGGATATAGTAGATTTATTTTAGTTTTAGATTTGACTTCGCGGTTCGTTTATCGCGGACTCGCTCTATCGCGGTTTTTCAAAATAAGATTGGACACGACACACAATTGACTGATTGATGGATGAGCCGCACGATCGGCATGGAATTTTTATTTAAAATAAATTATTTTAAATTATTTGCCCACGATGCAGGATAAATTTCCTGCTGCAGCTGATCAGCTGTTCTCCATGCTGAGAGGAGAAGTGGGCGTGGCCAAGAACGCTTGCTGGTGGCCGAGTGTACAGCCGTGGCTGATACCATTTATTACTTGTACTACTATTCTTACTTTGCGGTTTTTCACTTATCGTGGGGCTTCGGAGTTACGGATCCCCCGTGATAAATGAGGGACTACTGTACAGGTTGGTTTTTTTTTTAAACAAATTGTTTGGGTAAATAAAAGATATTAGTTATAGTACTTAAACTAATTTGGCAGGTTAGAGCCACACGAAAATCAGAATCGGCCAAGAAAACTGCAACAAGCGCATCTTTGGAATCTGACTCTTGTTGGTGTAAATTATAACTGGATTAAATTAGGATGGACTACAAGACTTAAACAGATGGATGAAGCTAGATTTCAAGTTTTTTTCCTTAAAGCAGAACGTGTTGTGAATTGTTGCTAAATTAACAAACTGACTGGAACGAAGTTGGATTTTTATATAAAAATATGTATTTCTCAGACAATATGAAACTGCATTTTTGGTCTAATATTAGTAACATACTGTAAGTAAAAAAAAAAAAACAGATACATACTGTACCCAATACCTGAAGACTGAAATAATAAATAACTTATTGGTGTATAAAGATTTCCTTTTTGTTCTCCTTTTCTTTCGACTGCTCTCTTCTTCAGGGGTCACCAGATTGGAGCAAATGAGGGTGGAAACAGGTGTGGGTGCTTCATCAATCCCACCCACATTTTGATGTTGTCGGTACCGGGAGTTGAACCAGCGATCTTCCGATCATAGGCCCATCTTCTCTAACCTCGACACCACCACTCCCAAAGTGTAAAATGTGCATAAATATTTCCATAACTGGGTGAAAATGCCATAATTCTCTCTAACAGTATGACCAGCTTTGAGCAGATGTGTCTGAAAGCACTAAAACGTGAATACAGTATGTTACTGTAATACTTTTTGTAATCTAAAAAAAAAATAAAAATAGTTGCATCAATATTTGACTAAATACACACCACATACCAGTGATAATAACTAGATAAGCTACTAAACCACAAGTACTAAACAAGTTAACGTTGCAGAGGAAGAGATGCTACATTTCTTCCTCGTGTGCAAAAGAAAGTTGCATCAGACTGTGCACACGCCAACTTGACTGCATTCTTGTCTGTCACCGTCTGAAAAACAATTGACACAAATTTATCTACATATACTACAAATGTATTAACTACGAAGCAGACTGGAGATGTTTTTTTTTTAAATTTTAATTACTATTTCTTGCAGAAAATTTGTCTTCTTCTGATTCAGACTGTTGACTAGACAGCCCAGACGTGAAACAAGGAAGAGGTCACTGTTGGTGTCAATGGTTAGAGGGGCTGTGTATGCATGCAACTTTCAGTGGAACTATCTTCGTTTTAATGGAAGTAATTTTAAAAAAATGTTAAAGGGATGTATAGACTGGCAACCATGCATTTGCTTCAGCCAAGAAAAGTAGAAATGTAGCACTAAAAAAAGATGTTTGAGCTGTTATGTCACAGAAACTGGAAAGTAAAAAGCTAAAAAGTAGAGTTCATATCTCTGCGGACTTCACCCTGAGGGCAAGCCACGATACAATCTCTACTTCTTAAGGTTAAACTCATGACCAACCGTCACACTTGTACCAGACAACGAGGAGCTTCTTGACGTACTGCTGCACAATGTGGTAACCAATGAGAGGAGGACATTTAGGAGATGCACCTCTTGGAGACATTTTCACTGGCTAACATCAATAAATGCTACATTTGTTGGGAATCATCTCTAATCTCCCTCTGGGAAATAATGCAGCCACATTTACGCACCTCTGCTAACTCCTTCATGTTTAATCTACACCTATTTATTTATTGTGTTGTATAATTATGACAAGTGTGCTACAACTTTAAGGCCAATTTATAAACCAAGTAAATGCTGCAACATTCAGTGTTTACAGTTTGTTGACGGAGCCTTTCCAATAAAATAAACTGGTGTCTCACAACTCGTATAGCATGTTCTCGTACAGAATTCTAGAATTGGCTGCATGTTGGAGCAGCTGCGTTACTTTCATTCTGAGATTTTGCTTTTGTAAACTTTAATTCCTCGTTTTCTGGATGTAAATCACATTTTTTTGGATGACTGTTTCCTCTGGTATCGGACGCTGTGCAGCTGGAAGGATTTTTACTGAAACTTTTTTTTAGTTTTGGACATTTGTTGTGATGCATAACCATGGCAACAAGGGAGTTTTCTACAACCAACAGCAGCTGATTAACATCTCAAAAGCTCAAATAATATCTCAGTTACAGCCCCAAATCTCAAATGAGTTGAAAAGGATGTTCAGTGGACGCATTCTCATCTACCTGCCTGCTGTGATGAACGTCACTGCACCTCAAACAGGAATGCCACTGTCAAGGAAATAACAGAATGGGCTCAGGAATACTTCCAGAAAGCATTGTCAGTGAACACAATCCACCGTGCCATACGCCGTTGCCAGCTGAAACTCTATAGTGCAAAGAGGAAGCCATTTCTAAGCAAGCTCCACAAGCTCAGACGTTTGCACTGGGCCAGGGGTCATTTAAAATGGAGTGTGGCAAAATTGAAGACTGTTGTGTGGTCAGATGAGTCACGATTTGAAGTTCTTTATGGAACACTGGGACGCCATGTCATACGGACCAGAGAGGACAAGGATAGCCCAAGTTGTTATCAACGCTCCGTTCAGAAGCATGCATCACTGATGGTATGGGGTTGCATGAGCGCTTGTGGCATGGGCAGCTTGCATGTCTGGAAAGGCACCATTAATGCAGAGAACTATGTTCAGGTTCTAGAACAACATATGCTCCCATCTAGATGTCATCTCTTTCAGGGAAGACCCTGCATTTTTCAACACGATAATGCCAGACCACATTCTGCAGCAATCACAACATCATGGCTACGTAGGAGAAGGATCCGGGTACTGAAATGGCCAGCCTGCAGTCCAGATCTTTCACCTATAGAGAACATTTGGCGCATCATAAAGAGGAAGGTGTGACAAAGAAGGCCCAAGACGATTGAACAGTTAGAGGCCTGTATTAGACATGAATGGGAGAGCATTCCTATTTCTAAACTTGAGAAACTGGTCTCCTCTGTCCCCAGACGTCTGTTGAGTGTTGTAAGAAGAAGGGGGGATGCCACACAGTGGTAAGAATGGACTTGTCCCAACTTTTTTGGGATTTGTTGACGCCATGAAATTTGGAAACAACAGATTTTTCCCTTAAAATGATACATTCTCTCAGTTTAAACTTTTGATCTGTGATTTGTGTTCTATTCTGAATAAAATATTAGATGTTGGCACCTCCACATAATTGCATTCAGTTTTTATTCACAATTTGTTTAGTGTCCCAACTTTTTTGGAATCCGGTTTATAGATGGTTGGCTACAATCAGTCAGCCTTGTTGGAAGACACCTTCAGGGCTTTTTGTTTTTAGGTTTGCATGCTTGGTTAAAACGCAACAGATCTCTCCTGGGCTTTTTCAATTATTCATTTCAAACAGTTAAAAACACTTGAAGTAGACTGACATATGTATCTGCTTTTATACAGTTTTTAAATAATTGGTAAAGTCTACTCGAGTCCTATGAAAACAGATGTATTTGAAATCAAAACAGGGTGTGGCTCACAGATATGTAGACCAGGTGTCCCTACCTTCTCTTGTTGTTAAGGCCAAGTGTTCTGATTTTAAGGAAGCTTGATCAAGTTTTTTAGATGTATTTTTATTTTACTATTATATCCCATCCCATGGGGTGGCTGAGTGGTTAGAGCAGAGAGTTGGGGGGTTCGATTCCACCAAGTCACATGCCGAAGTGTTCGAGACACTGAACCCCTCATTGCCTCCGATGTGTGTCCCATCGGTGTATGAATGTGATAAAGCACAGGTTAGTCTTTGTAGAGATCTAGTAGAGAGCTCTATGAATGGGTAAATGAGGGCACAGATTGTGTTGTAAAGCACTCTGTATCTTGATAAGTTAGAAAGGTACTATATAAGTGCAGTCCGTTCATTTACATGGAAGTAGCAGGACTTGAAACTTGCACTGAAACTAGTTGACGAAGCAGCTCATCCCATTCCAGTTTCAACTTCCAGGTTCATTTCAGTGGTCTATCAGTTTACAGTCTATGTTGCTTTTATTGCAAGAAAACTAAAGACAAGCCAACCAGAACATTGTGACGGCAATTTGCTATTATTCTTTACTAAATAAAATGTGTTTACAGTCTGTTGTAACCAAAATCCTCAATGATGATATTAGTGGTCTGTGTATCAAACATACAGCACATAAAGGACTTTACAAAACGTAGTGTTAATATGAGCAGCAAGGTGGAATAAACTCATCTTTAATCACTTGCTGTTAACTGGTTAAGAACCCTTTGTTATTCCTAATATTCACTATTAATAGCCCAATTTTAATATTTGGTCATACATTTGGGAATGAATTATTCTTTTGTTTTTAGTTCAAGTTGGTTTATTGTCATTTCACTACATGTGGTACATGAGGTGAAACGAAATTATGTACACATAATCTATTACTTTGTCATATGTACAACTCTGCCTGCAAAGAATTCTAATCATCCAACTTATAAGACAAACTTATGGCAAAAGTGGAATTAAAGAGCACTGAAATTAACTAACTTTGGTGGAAATGAGTTGTTTGTTTTTTTTAAACGCAGGACACATACATACACCTCCACATACACACAAAAACATATGGCTCTTTGACAAATTGTATACTCAGAATTCAGGATTGTTGAACAGACATGTACACAAGAAAGTGGCTATTTCATTCTGCTTTATGCTTTTTGGGCATTTCCTCTTCCTTTCTGTGTCAGATCGTGACTTCTCACTCTAACAACATCTCATTTCCTGTAACAGTGAGTAACAATGGAGCAACTTCAGCACATCTGGGGAGTTCACAGAGTTTAATACCCAGCTGTTGCACAGCAGCTACTGAGCCCGTGAAGGCAGCATCGATCTGCTGACGTTCAACCTCCTCTATTTGATTTATTTACTGATCAATCAGTTTGGAAGCAGGCCGATGGGTACTGAAGGTCGGTGGGCGGAGGCAGAGATCAGCAGGCCGGGAAACAGACACGTGGTGCTCCTCCATGGCGCTCCTTTGTTAAATAAACTAAGAAAAGTGCAGCAGCAACAGGCCCTGACGTGGCGGAGGAGAACTACAGCCGGTGGTGGAGGAGGCAGACACACCACTGCAACTTCCACTTCTGTCCTAGACTGTAAATATAAAAGTGAAGCAGCTTCATTTAATCAAACACTTACCTCGGCTCTTCCTCCTCCTCTGTGTTGAAGCGGCAGGAGAGCTCAACTAGATCGAAGAGGGAAATGTGCACATTTTCTGCCACGTCCAACTCGTCCAGAACCGGGTCAGAGCTGAGCAGGACCGGTCCAGGATAGAGTCAAACAGTAGCTGAGATGTGCAGAAGCCAATCAGGAGGTATGATTTTCGACCTCCTCTTCTACTTTTTCCCGTTCGTTTTCTTTCTGCTTCTGGCAACTCCGTCAGGGGGCGGGGCCAGGTCTGTTGGGAGGCGGAGCAAAACTAGTCAGGAGGCGGGGCAAAGGTTTCTTATCCAATTCAGTTTATTTATATAGCGCCAAATCACAACAGAAGTCATCTCAGGGCACTGTACAGAAACATTTTATATATATAAAAGTTAATAACGTTATTTATCTGAGGAGCAGACTGCTTTGAGTTTAACTTCATCGCTGACGCTCGTCTTGAGCAAGCATGAGGGCGACAGTGGAAAGGAAAAACTCAACCAGGCTCAGGACAAGCGGCCGTGCTTCGACCGGCTGGGTTTGAAACGAACAGGAAGGAGGAACAGATACACAATGGCAGGCCGAGAATAACATGTTTAGAAATAGTATCAAATGTAAACTATTCAATTTTAACAATTAATTTTAAGAAATGAGGTCAATTTGTCCTCTAGAAGTCTAAGTGGCCACATAACAAGCCAACCCTAACTAGGATTTATCAAAATCAAAATTTATTATGAACAAAAAAAAAAACAACTTTAAGATATGAAAGCTGTGAAATACTCAATTTTTTAAATTTTATATATATGTTTCGAACACAATTTCTGCATGAATAAATACTTTTAAAACTCATCAGTGTTTTTGTAAAAATTGCATTAGAAAACAGCAAATATTCCTCACCTTTGCTTACAACTAAATTCAATCAATCATTTAAGACTAATTACGGACGTATTCCCATTAGGGTTGTGAATATCTTGGCACAACGTATTTCTTGGCCCCAGCTTTTACTTTAATGCTGGTTCTGTCGTGTCTCATCCTTACAGCTTTTAGTGTCTGTTTCTGTTCAGAAGAATAGAGAATAAAGCTGGATTATTGCTGGGCAGTCAAAGTGGTTAGTACTGTTGTCTCACAGCAAGATGGTCCTGGGTTCGAGTCCACGCTTGGCCCTGAGGTCTTTCTGTGTTTGTATATTATCCTCCTGTATGCAGGTTTTTTTTTTCCAGGTACCCCGTTTTCCTCTCCGAGTCCAAAAACATACATGTTTAAGCTGCCTTCAGACCGCCCATGAAACAGTGATTGATGATGTCATTATGATTTGCCTGGTTAAATGCTAACTAAATAAATAAATACTGGTAAATAAATAAAACGAGCAACTAAAATCAAATCTCCCAACTGATTTCCACCTGTATGGATGATGGTCCTAACCTAAATGAAACTAGAGGAATTGCATTTCCTGCAAAAATGCAGTTTGAATGCATATTGCCAAATGATTTTCACTAAAATTTGCAGAAGTTGAAACAAGCCATAGACATGTTTCATCACTAAACCATTAATGCGAGGTGAAATTGAACAGCTGACATTTGCTGAGAGCAGGAAAATAAAAGTGGAAAGCAGTATAACAAACGGCAGAAATGTGTAGAATAAGCTGAAAAGAGTGGAAATGTAGCAAAAATGAGCAGAATAAGCTGAAGAGGGGTTGATTAGATCAGGGGTTCCCAAACTTTTCCATGCCATGGCCCCCAAACAGCATTAGCTTCTGTCCAAGGCCCCCCTCGCAAACGCTACAAAATAAAGAAACATAAACTTTTAGAATGTTTTAACTTTTATTCGCTATATTCAATAAAGTATTAAAGCTGCTGAGCATAATTTTTTTTGTTAACTAGCATGTTTTAAACACTGTTTTATATTCCCACTGAAAAAAACAACAACTTTTCAACAAACTGTTGACCAGAAGAACAAAACAAAAGAAATCTAACCTCTCTCTCAAGCATGTTTATCTGTAAATAACAGATACAGATTGCCCTATAGTGGGTAATTATTATACTATTTTTTATTATTTTTGCTTTGGTTTAAATCTTCTTCTCTCCAGCTCTCTTGTGCCACGTAGCGCCCCCTGGTGGCCCCCCAGGGGGCCGTGGCCCTCCCGTTGAAAAACACTGGATTAGATTACAAAAAATCTGTAGTTAGCACAAAAAAGTAACTGAAAAAGTAAAAAAAAAAAAAAAAAAAAAAGAGCTGTAATTAACCGAAATAGACAAAAGAGTATAAAAAGTTTTAATTATTAAAAAGAAATACAATGGGTAGAAATTAGCACAAAAATAACAGAAAAAACAGACAAGTAGCAGATAAATACCTTAAAAGTAGCTAAAAAAGCAGAGTAAAGCTGAATTTCACAAAAAGAAAAACCTATAGAAGAAAAAGGCATCTATTTAGAGCAGAGCCTACAAAACTATATTCATTTACCGGTACATAATGAATTCATCCCATGTTTCAAATGAGTTTTTAAAATAATTCATAATAAAAATGCATTACACAGTTGATAATGCAAACGTTTACGTAATAGATGGAGTCCATGTGGAAGAAAAATGCTCTATGAATTCAGTTTGAGTTTTGTGAGTCAATGGTACAAAGAGTTTTAATTGCAGTCAATGACTCGTCTAAGGTTACTCATTTATTTTTAAAGTTTGTTGCTTGGTTACAAAAAGACTGCACAGTTTTGCTCGTCCTGACTTGTGCTCACAAACTTTAAAGCCGACTTTCAGTTGTCTTTAAGTAAAAGTCAAATGTTGACTTTCAGTTCAAGGTCTACACATCAAATCCATTTACATGTTTCTTTGTTGTTGTTTTTTTGTACTTTTGCAGTTTTGCCTCCCGCAGTAGCAGTAGAAGTTCTTTTTGAATTCTACAGAAAGTGTGAGCAGAAGATGAAACTTATTGCAGTGACATCACTGGTTCTCTCAGTAGCCAAGACACACATTCATACTCGATATAAGATAAAAGAAGTTTATTTGTCATACACATTATCATGAATGTATGTGACAAATAAACTTTCAATTAAATGTACTTTTAAATGCTCCAAGACAATCAAGAAATTGAAATAAAAGTTTATAAAATATATTTGTTTACAGTTATTGCACAGTATTAATTATCCATAAGGTTAAGTCCGGTCCTCTGGACTGGATTCTTGTTTGATGAAACATTTTGTCTTTTATCTAAAAGTCTTCTTCAGTCTGAGATCTTGCAAAAAGCTCAGTCTTATAAATAACACCTTATCATAGTGGGTCAACCAGTTTGCTGCTGACTGTCAGAACCAGCTACTCACATGTAAAAGGCGACCATCAGTCTTAACAATGAATTTTTAACGCCCTATTGTTTGTTACGCCATATTGTTTTGCATTATTAGTGTTTAGTGTGTATCTTAGATCTTTTGGCGTGCCGTTTAACGTCTGTCTTAGTGTATATCTTAGATCCTTATAAACTGTTTCTTCTTTACACTTTATATTTTTGTTATTGTTGAGTGTAACTGGGACCCTGTGTACATAATTTGGTTCCACCACATGTATCACATGTGGTGCAAATGACTATAATAAAGATACCTTGCCCAAGACCTTGTAAGAGGAGGACAGTTGAACACGGAGACCCTCACCCCTGTTTAATGATGGATGGGTTCTTTTTACAAAGATGGCTGCCTTCACTCCTCTCTCAGACCATCGTTCCTCTCTATCCAGGATGTGAACATCTTCATCCCTGAACGAGTGACCGCTGGCCTGGAGATGAGTGTGAACTGCAGAGTCTTGGCCTGATAGTGTTAATCTTCTGTTCTGGGCCATCCTTTTTGTCAGTGGCTGTTTAGTTTCCCCAATATATGACTGATCACTCTCCTGGCACTGACCAACATACACAATATTACTCTGTTTGTGCCGGGGGACTGGATCTTTGGGATGGACCAGTCTTTACGGCAATAAAATACAGACATTTCTTTTTGAGAAAGAAGCTTACAAATATTTAATAAAATGTTTAGACATTTTCATTTAAGATTTGAAGGCAGCTTTTAATAAACACATCTGTAAAAAGCACAATAACAGTGCAAACCAGTAAGAAAATGAAACTACAATATTTGTGCTGTAAAACGTCTTGATCCTTGGTGTTTTCTGCTGTGTAGGACTTAATGAGGACATCCAAAGATTAAAATAACCAAGTTACAAGTTATGTTTTATTACTTCAAAGCAACCACTGTTTAACTTGAGGATAGCGATGATAACTACCGGTATACTAGAATGGTTAGCAGAACTTTGTTGGAAATTCATTCATGGAATTCCTTTTCATTTGAATGATTTTAACACCTACTTCTGCAAGTTCTCTTTAAAGTATTTACCTGCTCATTGCTAAAACAACAGTTGATTGTTACCAGAAACCTTGAAGAACGTTTTTTTTTCCCTTGCAAAAAGCCGTCGTAATACAATCAGGTGTGGTTCAAGCAAACCTGTGCTGCAGAGGAAAGGTTCATTTGAGTTCAATGATCAATTATTAATAGCACCTCTCACCCACCATACTTCAACATCAGCAGTTTGGAAGATTCAGACTTTTTTAGAAGCTTCTGTCCAGCAAAATACAGCTTGTTTTATTTGTTTCAGTCCGATTTACTTCAACACAGGATCTCTGTGAGATGCAAATAATTTGAACAGATGAGGCAGCAAAACTGTGTTTTTACTGGGAAGCCTTGGGGAGTCTGATGTTTTTGGGACTGTTGCTTGTGACACAATTTATTCAAAATTCAAGGCACATGTGGGAGCTACTGATGACCCCAAACACTCCGAGTCTGGCAAGTGTGCTTTGATTGCAGCATCAAGAGACTTCACCTTTACAATCAAGTGATGACAGTTTAGCATAAGCTCTGCAAAAGAGTAGAAAAAAAACAGGCAACAAATGCTTAAATACAGGTTTGCACCTGAAAAATCATGTACAATGCAAACAGGTTAGTATTAAAAATGACCACAGACAGCTGACATCGTCTTTAATATCTGTGCTGTGTCACAGATGATTCACACGACTCACTGTTCACATCACACTCCTTTTCTTTTATCTCTTTGTTCAGGTTCAACTATTTGTTAATGTTTCCTCACTTCTTGTTTAAGCAGCTTTCATCTCTACCAAAAGAAATTATTAACCAAAATTCACATTTTTGCTTTCTTTGTCATTTATTGTCTTCTCTTTCAATTATTTATTAACATATTTCCTGTGTCGTTACTTAAAACGTACTAATATTTATCATGACATGTGCATTAAGATACTGATCAGATAAAAGTCTGGATTTTGTCAGCATTTGTGTGGTCTTGATCTATTTTAGCACAGAAATAATAACAAAAAACTTAGTTAAGCTGCTGCTTATAGAAAACTACAGTCAGAATTGATCAAATCTAATAAAACTAAGTTTAGGCTGTGTTTTAAACGCCACGCCTGTTTGATTTCATCACCATAGGTTACTGTAATTATTGGCCCTGCTTGAACTATTTATTATCTCATCAATTCGGTCAGAAGAAACCTGTAGTGATCTGTGATTTTTGTTTAGTTTTGGTGGTATTTATTGTTTCGTTTGAGCTATTATTAGTGATCTCCTAACAGAAATTAAACTCTAACCTCAATTTTGCTCGCACTGCAGGTTTACTTCTGGTTCTTAGAGTTTCTAAAAGCAGAATGGGATGTTCACTCATCAGGTGAAGTTTTAGGTTGTGACGCTCACTTTGTCTACTTTGCTTAACACCTTCATTTTGGTAAATACTATAATTAGGGTTAGCTTGAATTTCCTGAGTAATCCTTTTAATCAGAGAAAGCTGAGGAAAATCCATCGCAGGACGCCTGCTGGCGCTGACTAGATATTCCCGAGGCTTCAGAGGGTCTGTGCTGGTGAGCTGTAGGGGAACTTTTCCAGCAGGTCTAAAACCTGTAGCTGCATTTGGAGAAAGTTCCCACCCTCTGGAAAACTTCAGACACCTTTCCTGAACCCAGAAATGCACATCTAATTGAACTTTAAGACTTCCTGCCTTACCTTCCAGGTGATGAAATACTTCAAAATACTAAAAGATACGCTCCTCGAGTTATCGCTAATGGCAGGCGGTAGAGAAAAATGGCGGATCAGGTTGTTTGGAAATACTCCACAGACTCCTCCCCCTGACCAATCAGTGACCGACAGTGTTTCTGACGTCACGGCTCGGCTCGCTTGGACCCCTGGAGAAGCCGGGCCAGAATTTAGGGAGGCGAGCCGGTCCCAAGAACCATGGAAAAGACCTCAAACACGCGTCAAGCCGAAAATATCCAACCCGCGCCGTGACAGTGGAAAAGGGGCATTAGACCCGAAGGTGCAGCATGCCCACGATCCCATCCAGTTTGCATACAGACAGAGGATGGGAGTTGTCTCACCATACCCTCGCATAGCTAGACAGTGAGAATCATGTTTTTATTGTGTTTCTCAAGTGCTTTTAATACCATTCAGTCCATCCTACTCCACAAACATTAACCAGCATGACCGTTGACCCACATTTTGTGGCTGAGATCACTGACACCTGCCTTGCAGACTACAGTTTGCCAGGATGAGGGGGAAGTGTTTCCACCACAGTAATCAGCAGTACAGGGGCACCACAGGGAAATGTGCTTTCCCCCCTCATGTTCATCCTTTATACAGAGTTATTTTACACACTATGTCACATGCAGAAATTCTCTGAGAACATTTGGGTGAGGAGGATCTGGTGATGAACTTCATTGGGTTGTGTCACAAGAATCAACTAGAGCTCACCACAAGAAAGAGCAAAGAGATGGGACTGTATGTCAGGGGAATTAAGGTAAAGGTCATGGATGTTATCACATATACACCTCCAGATGCAAGAAGAGGGCCACCTGCATCATGAAGGACCCCACTCACCCAGCACACACACTTTTTGCCCCGCTCCCCTCAGGAAAGAGGTTGAGGAGCATTAAGTGTAGAACCACTAGACTGAGGAACAGCTTCTACCCTGAGGCTGTTAGACTCATGAATCTCTAACCAGAATAATCACTGTGAAAAAAATCACATCATGTTGCTGCTGATCTGTTTCAATGTTGCTGCTGATCTGTTTCATGTTGATGTGTTCATACATGCTCATCTGCTCACACAGACTCATGCTCATGTTCGTGCTGCTGTTCGACGTAACGTTTTATGCTATTAGTGCTTAGTGTATTTTTAGTTTATGTTTTTCTTAGTTCATATCTTAGATGTTATCATTGTTTTTCTTTTGCATTTTATTGTTGAATGTAACTGGGACCCTGTGTACATAATTTCGTTCCACCACATGTACCACATGAGGTGCGAATGACAATAAAGAATCTCTGACTGACTTTTTTATATTGTCCCATATTTTATGTCTGTGAGTTATTGCTTTTTACTGTCAATGCATATAATTTTTCATGTTGTGTGCTCTGCTGAATTTTCTCTGGGATTATAGGCTCAGACTGCAGGCGGATTGACCACATTTCCTCACTCTGATGTTTTTATAATTTTAATTCCCTATATTTATACATGCAATCTGTTTGCTGTCATTAAAGCTACTCGATGTCACGATCAGTCAAAAAAAAACAACAACCATAAAATAAGAAACAAAATCCACACATTTCTTTTTCTCATGTAGATGGTTAATGTTTCATTGAATTTAAGATTTGTAAGCAAAATTTGTGAACAGCCAACGTGCATTTGTATTTTTCATTCAGCCTTTATTTATACAGATTAGTCCCATTGAGCATCGGGGACCAATTTACAAGCGAGACCTGAATAAGAGTGATGACAACAATAGAAAATCATAAAGGATGCATACAATTTTTTTTAAACAAATGAAAATAAAATGATAATTAAAAGGAAGTGAAGTATAACTTCAGACTGGATCGCTTTTGGACAGAATTGGATTTATTATTTGGAACAAAAAATGTGTAATGCCCTGAAATTACTTAATCCCACTATTACTCAAGAGATTTATAAACAAGAAAACGTGAAGAAAAAAAAATCCCCATGTTTTGGTCCTCCTGACACACGCACACATGGACCTGCTGATGGTTTAGCCTTCTCCCTGAGGGAGGCAGCGCGTCCGCGCGTCACGTGACCACCAGCTCGTTGGACAGCAGCTACATCCTGCCTCCTCCACTATGGATGGAGCAACATCTCTGATCAGCTAACTACAGAGCTGTGGACCGACAGAGAAGAGGCTTTCAGGGCAGAGTTTTGCATCTAGAGACGGAGGATGGTCCTCTGGCTCCCGGAAACCGGGAAAGATGCGATGAGGAGGATGAGAAGCTGTGCTTTTATATTTTTTTATGTTGCACTCTTATATCGGCTCAGGAATATCGCTGTTCTTCCCCATTTGTGGCGCAGAAATGGTCGGCAGAAGAAGTGATACAACAAATATAAATATACAAGGTATTTATTTTTTAGCTTCAGCGCCTTATCTCTGGGACACGAAAGGAGACAAGAAAGAAGCAGTTATCCCTTAAAATAAAAATAAAAAAAACTCCTCTAATATTAATTTAGTTCTTAGAGTTCACCTTCCTCAGACTCTGATTTTCCAAGCAGAAAGCCTTGAGCAGCTCCTGCTCTTTGTTTGCTGCACTGCTGGACTCCTCAGGCTCATGGATCCCTGTATTTTTTTCTATTTTTTTTGGTTTTGAACTTCCATAGAAACGCCTGCGTTTGGGGGGGGGGGGGGCACCCTCTAATCCTTCCCCATTGGTCGGCCAGCGGTGCACATGCTATAACAACAGGATATGCAAAGAGCTGTGGGCTGATCTGACAGCCTATCATGTTTGGAGCATGCTTCTCTTGTGTTTTTTTAAACCAAATGTGCTCTGTTCGCGTGCATCAAAAGGTTTAATCGACTGAGAACAATAGTATAATGATGAGAACGTGACGAAGAAGGAGCGATCAGAGCCAAGCTGGGGGCTCCTTTGTTTCCTGCTGCCTGTGTAGTAAAGCTGCTGAAGCATGTTCAAGTATCGGATCCAGATGTTGTTCAATGAGGTGCTGCTGCTGATGCGCTCCGATCAAAACAGGAGGGCTGACCCAGGCTCCGACTCGCACATCAGGATGAGGGGCTTCGCCAGTGGAGGATGTGGTTGGCCGCAGATGAGCTGCTCTCGTCAGGATGGTGGTGAAGATGAGGAGGACTATTATGGGTCTGAACCCCGGCCACGCAGTCTGGCTCTTGAGGATCATAAAGGAACCAGAATCCAGGAGGGGGCTCTGGACACAGGTTCCCCACCAAGCTTCTCTGAGAGCGGGACACGGACGCCACAGTGCCGGATCTGCTTCCAGGGGCCAGAGAAGGTGAACTTATTATACAAGTGTTGATGTGTGCATGAACAGGAAGGGGAGCAGGTTTTTATTCCAGTGACTCCCTTCAGTAGTGATGAAGCAGTGGTGAGCTCATGGAGCCTTCAGCAGGACAGGTGGCTCTTAAAAATGGATGAAGGCAGGAAAAGAAGCAGGACCAGGGGCCCAAGCAATCAGCGGGTCACTGTTGACTCAATGGACTGATTCCAAAAGTAATCTGCTGTAATAGAAATCCAATAATAACTTCATGAAAGTTTCATTCATGGGATAGTTTGCTCTTTTAGCGCTACGTTAGGGGGGACTCTCTACTCCGAAATTTAACTCAATAGTTGTAAAATTGACTGAATTGTAACCATTTTTGTGCTCGTGAAGTTTGGGGGAGTGATGGCTCAGAGGTTAGAGAAGGTGGGCCTGTGATCAGAAGATCGTCGGTTCAAGCCCCTTAACCCCCATCTGCTCCCTAAATAGGTCTCTCTTGAAAATGAGTTCTCGTGGCTCAATGAGACTACCTGGATAAATAAAAGGTAAATGAAACAATAATAATAATGATTACCGATAGCTGTGGTGGCCATCTTGAACTGGGTTGTCCTAAAACGTGAATCGGTTGTAGCTGAAGCTCTAAAGATTATTTTCTGACAGTTTCATTCAAATGTTTCATCTATTTTGTGAGATATTTTGCTTGACATTCCAACACGAATACCAATGGGCATCGGCAAAAAAAAAAAACATTGCTGCCCTTTTTTGCCTTTTGATGTGAGGTGATAATGATTCATAACATTTTCAAATCAACTAGAAGACATTTGAAGCCCGTTTGAAAATTATGCAAACTAACAAAAGAGGCACAGTTTTACAAAAAGAACAAAGAATGAAGACAAAGCTGCTCCAAACACATCTGGAAACCTTTCAAAATAAGACATCCAGAGATCTAATTTTGTTGCTGTTACAAATGACATAAAAGGGTTATAATACCTTTTATTTACTTATTTTTCGTCTTATTTCTATTGTTTGTTTACTTCACTGTTTGTCTCCCGCCACTGAAGGTGAAGGGGGTGCTAGAAAGTTTGTCTCTGTGTTTGTTGGTCTGTATTATTAGCGAAATATCGCATGAACCAAACTTTCAGAATGTAATAACTGGATGCACATCTACAAAATCAGAGTCAGAATAAGCTTTATTATTATTGCACCGAGATAAAACAAGAATTTGTCCGTGCAACCGTCCAAAAGATGGACGGAGTGCACGTAGCTGCTGCTATAAAGCGCGGCCTTCTTATTCTTAGACGAAGCTTTTCCTCAGTTTACACATTTCCAAGGAGAAATTGAAAAGCCGGTCTGTTCGAGGCCAGTCGAGGAGAGATTCATATAAACCAGAATTGTTGACTTATTCAGGGAGACTATTTTTCTTGTCAGCCTTGAGTCTGTACTGATACTTTCCAATGTCCGAAATGGCCAAATAAGGGTGCATTCTGCTGGTCCGTGCTTACGAGCCTCTTCAAGATGGTTTTCATGCTGACAAGTCCCAAAGTCACAGGTGGCCTGCGATTCAAATCACTTCCAACTTACGATTTAGCTCGTAAATCAGCTGATTTTGAGTCCTCAAAGCACGAACCAAACCTTCACATAGACAGCAGCCTGACAAGGTCCAAATTAGCTGCAGCCGTCTTCTTTGTACGTTGATAAACCAGGATCCAGACTATTCCAAAAACAGGAAACCGGTTATCATAAATCCAATTATATGCAATTTCGGCGTCCTCGTTCGATAGCAGAGGTAGACGCATCACCCCCAGAGATATATCCAGCTGCATGCGTCTCGTCCGAGCAGATGAGGGTTCTCCAGGCAGGACCCTGTCGCTTTGTTGAAAATATTTTTGGTATTTTATGTCGAAAGTCCAGTTGGTCAGATCCAAAACAGTAGTTTTCATTTCAGAAGATGTGTAAAACTAGGAGCTGCTCCGATACACAGACAGAGAACAAAAAAGCAGGAGAACAGGGAGAGGGGAGAAATGCGTGCGCCTCGTTAGAGAGCTAGTAAGAAAAAATAGACTGGCTATTGGAGTCAGTTCAATTCAAAATGGCTGCCACAGCTAATCTACCTTAGTTTACAATAAAATAGCAATGACTCAGTCACAGATACTGATCTAAGCTTTGACGTGGTAGTAGCTGAAACTAATACCCAACTTGTACACCAGGCGCTAACTGGTCTTGCAAAGGTCTGTGTTTAAAATCTTGCTATTAACAACTGGAGTCAAGTCTGTTTGTCTGTTAGCGAGATATCTCAGAAACCTCAAAACAGATAAAACCTATAAAAAGTAATAATTAGCTATAGATCTACAAGTGATGAGATTTCTGACTCAGCCCAGTAAAGATGGCTGCCACAGCCAACTGATCTAAGAAAACACAAAAAGTGCTATAACTCAGACAATTTACATATATTTAACTAATACTTGGATAGTATCTGGGCATTGAACCTGACTCACGTTGAGCACAATACATTGTGCAACAGTTTTGCTTAAAACTTTTGAAATACAGTTACTGCTTGAGTTTGTCTGTTAGCAAAATATTTCATGAACCACTGTACAGATTTTAATGAAACTTTCAGAAAGTTCTTATTGGTTTTACATCTGCAAGTGTTAATATTTTGGAGTCAACACAGTTTGAGATGGCTGGAACAGCTTCTCAACCTTAACCTACATAAATGTTTACACTGCAGTGAATTTTTGATGCTGAACTAAAATTTGGCGTGGTAGTAGCTGAGAGTTATTCACAGCTCATACTCCAAATGCTCACAGGTCACGTGAGATTTGACTCGTGTGATTGTGCATCAAGTTATTTTTAATATTTAACCAAAACGACTGTGACACCATTGTTTCTCAACAGAAAATAATCTTAGTCTGCGATGATTCATTTAATCTGAGCAGATTTCAAAGTAAATGTATGGAGTGCCTGAGATTAAACTGAGTATTGGTAGTGATCTAAAATGTTCAGTGAGTAGACAAAGGGCACGAGTTAAGAATGTGAGAAGAAGATTTGTGGTCACTGATGAGAAGTCCTCACACTCTGCAGTTTGTACAAGACAGAAAGTTTGATTGACTCATGGAGGAGGTTTGAGTTGAGGAACAGACATCTTAGTCCACAACAAGCCAGTCTGGGGGAGCAACAAACGAGCAGGCTCTCAGAAAGTGTTTTTCTCTCCAAATACCTCCAAACTTGTGTGATGCTTGTGGTCTGACAGAAATCACAGCAGGGGGGTCGCATAGCAGCTAAAACCTGCAGCAAATGTCCTGTGATTTATTTGGAGGCTGATGGAAAACGACCTGTAAACTGTGTTCAGACAGAGATATTAAAAAGAAGATGTATCGATGATGAATCAACTCCCCAAAGAAAAGCTGAGTCTGCGGCTCGGGATGTAATCCTTTGCTGGGTTAGACCAGCAGATGGTTTCAAAATAAAAGATTAGTTTCCCGCTCATAACTACACATCTATGCCTCGTGGTGCTTTGCGCCGTTTAAAGGTCTCACCATCGTGTTTAAGACCGGTTCACTGAGTCTTTATATGAAGAGAAGAAACCATCAAGATAAACATTTTTGACTTTTACAGTTTTAGACTAAGATCCATGCATCCATTATCTTCTGCTTATTACGAAGTCGAGTCGCGGGGGCAGCAGTTTGAGCAGGGAGGCCCAAACATCTCTTTCCACAGCCACCTCTTCCAGCTCTTCTGGGGGGACCCCAAGGTGTTCCCAGGCCAACCGAGAGACATGGTATGTCCTGGGTCTTCCCCGGGGTCTCCCCCCAGTTGGACATGCCCAAAGTACCTCCTGAGGGAAGCATCCAAGAAGCATCCTTACCAGATGCCCGAACCACCTCAACTGGCTCCTTTCGATGTGGAGGAGCAGCGGTTCTATTCAAGTCTCCAAGATAATTGAGCTTCTCACCCTTTCTTTAAGGGAGAGTCCAGCTACTCTGCAGAGGAAACTCATTTCAACTGCCTGTATCTGCAATCTCATTCTTTCGGTCACTACCCAGAGCTCATGACCATAGATGAGGGTAGGAACGTAGATCAACGGATAAACAGAGAGCTTTGCCTCACAGCTCAGCTCCCACTTCACCACAATAGATTGGCAGAAGGTCCACAATACAGCGGACTCTGCACCAATCCGTCTGTCAATAATAATAATAATGTTTTATGTGTTGTCATCAATGTATGTTTCCATACAATGGCGAAATTGGCTCTCTGCATTTAACCCATCCACCACCAGGTGGTGCAGTGGGCAGCTATTGAAAGCACGCGGGGGCATTTTGGGGATAAGGCAGGCTGCTCAGAGACATCACGAGATGTGCAATAACTGGGGATGGAACCTGGGACTTTCGGTGCCGAGTCGGCTGCCCTGCCTCTACACTATCTCGGCCCCCTAATCTAACGTTTCATTCTTCCCTCACTCATGAACAAAACCCTGAGATACTTGAACTTCTCCACATGAGGCAGAACCTCACCCTCAGCCTGAAGAGAACAATCCACTCTTTTTCAACTGAGGACCATGGCTTCAAAGTTCAAACCGCTCCAGTGAGAGCTGAAAACCTTGGCACGATGACGTCAACAGGATCACATCATCTGCAAAGAGCAGAGATGGAATCCTGAGGCCACCAAACTGGACTCCCTCCGCTGCACCGAGAAATTCTGTCCATTAAAGTTATGAACAGAATCGGTGACAACGGGCAGCCCTGGCGTAATCCAGTTCTCACCCTGAAGGGGTCCAACTTACTGCCAGCAATGAAAACCAAACTCTTGCAAAGCTTGTATAGGGACCGAATAGCCCGTAACACCGGGCCCCCAATCCCATACTCACAGAGCACCCACCACAGTGCACCCCAAAGAACATGGTCAAATGCCTTCTCCAAGTCCACAAAACACATGTAGACAAGATGGGAAAACACCCATGACCCCTCAAGGACCCTAGTGAGGGTAAAGAGCTGGTCCTGTGTTCCACCGTCAGGAACTCTCATTGTTCCTTCTGGACTAGACTAAGATCATCTTATGTAAAAAAAAAATGACAGAGTTAATATTTTCAAGGTTTAAAAATGATCTAAAATCTAATGCAAGATGTCTCGCTCACAGTATGTGTTGTGAAGGACTCTCAGCTACTACCACAACAAACTTCAGCTCAGTCGTAGCCATTGCTGTGTTGGCCAGTGTCACTTAGCTTTAGTGGCTGTCGATCTGGACTGAGTTGAAAGATAATCCTTTTTAGAGGTGAATTCTTTCTGAAAGTTTCAACAATATGGTTCATGAGATATTTTGCTAACATGATTGACTCCAGCAGTTAACTGGAGAAAGATCTTGCACAGTAATATGAATTTGTAATTTGTTGTAAAATAGTTTGCCACAACAAATCTGAGCTCAATGTTTGCAAATTTGACAGAATAGTGAGGGTATTTTTGTGTGTGGGTTTTTAGAAGGCGATTAGCTGTGGCGGCCATCTTGAATGAGGATGACTACAAAAGTTGTTCAGTTGTATAGATGCTCATCTGATGATTACTTTCTGCCAGTTTCCGTAAAATTCCTCCTGTGGTTCACAAAAAGTTTTGGCAACAGACAGACACATGAACACACACTTATGACCAAAAACATTATCCATTATTGTCCGCCTCCACTTTTCGGTGGTGGAAAATAACAAAAGTGTGTGTGTGTGTGTGTGGGGGGGGGGGGGGGGTATCTTTTAACAAAGTGTCAACACAAGCTGACAGAGAAGTGTGTGTGTGTCCAACCCTGGTGTGGAGCTACAATTCACTGATTTACACAATCATAATGTCCTTATTTTCAGGACTTGAGATAATTTTACTAAGAAAATAAAAAAATAAATGAGCATCAGCAGCTGTCAGGGAAAAAAATACAGCACACAGGGAAAACAAATGATGATCAAAGTGGAATAAAAAAGAAAGTAAAGATTGGAGGCTTCCTTCGCACGAGAAACTGTCAAAGAGAAGCTGAAGAGTCGAGAGTCTCTGAGGCTTCTGAAAATAGATGCAGGGGTTACAGGATGCTGCTTTTAATGACAATTAAACTGATTAATGCATATTTATGAAACGCGAAGAACCGAAAGCTCCTTTGTTTTCAACGTACACACGGGGAACAAACAGAACTCACTTATGCACACGTATAGATTTATTTTTGCCTATAAATAATTTTATAATAACATCTGCTAGTTTCGCAACAATGTAGTTGGCTGATGAATGTCATGAAACTGTCAAAGCTGTGTTGATAGTGGCAGCAGCCTGTGGTTGTTTCACGTGTCGTCCTGCAGGGGGAGCTGTTGGGCCCCTGTCGCTGTGACGGCTCGGTGCGCTGCACCCACCAGGCCTGCCTCATCCGCTGGATCAGCGAGAGAGGCTCCTGGAGCTGCGAGCTCTGCTACTTCAAGTACCACGTGTTGGCCATCAGCACCAAAAACCCTCTGCAGGTACTTTTGTGCAGAACTGAGCAAACATAAACAAAGACTTTTAGATTTACAGGGTAAAAAAAAAAAAACTTGTTTTACTCTTCTTTTTTTTCTGTCTTTATTTTTCAGTCTAACTGCTTTTGTGATATTTTAGTTATGTTCCCAGAGAATTACATTGTTCTCGATTAAAATCAGCTTTAGCTTTATCTTTGTCTTTGTTTATTTATCGCTGCTTTTAGCTTTGAGATTTCCTATTTGTAGCTTTTAGCTGTTTAACTTCTGTTCCACCTCTTCTGGCTTCAAGGTCATTGTTGGCATCACATGTGGTACATGAGGTGGAACAAAATTGTATACTCGAGGTTCCATTTACACCCAAAAATATAAAGTATAAAAAAGAAACAGTATTCAAAGATATTCTAAGATATACGCTAAACAATAATAATGTAATCTAATATGGTATTAAACAGCAGCCTGAACATGAGTCTGTTTGTGAGCAGATGGGTATGAATACAGCAGCTTAAGGTTAGAAATCAGCAGCATGGATAAAGTGACAATCCCAAATCATTTGTTAGCTTTGCTACATTTAGCTTTTTCTATTTTTTTCCACTTTTAGCTAGTGATTTATTACTTTTATTAGCATTTTTTTGCTCCCTTTAGCATTTTACAAATTCTGTTTTTTTAATCAACTGTTTTTGCTTCTTTTAGTTAAAGTTTTGCTACTTTTAGCTAGTGTTTTTCTTGTTTTACCTAGTGTTGTGCTTCTTTTGGCTAGTGCTGTGTTCCACTTAACAGTTCTGTTAGCTTTTAGCTAGACATTTGCCATTTTTAGCTAGTCTTTTGCTAATTTAGTATATCATTTTGCTTCTGCCAACTTTAATATAACATTTTGCTGCTTTTGCATTTTAGATAGCATTTGGCCTCTTTTAGCTTTAATAATAGCATAATGCTAGTTTCACAGCTAGCATTTTCCTTCTATTAGATTTAAGCTAGTCTTTTGATACTTTTGGGTTTTAGATAGATTTTTTCCTTACATTGAACTGTTTTATCTTTTTAACTACTGTTTTGTTTCTTTTAGCTTTAACAGCTTCATTTTAGCTTCTTCAGCACATTTCTGCAGAACCATTCAGCGCTCAGCTTTTAATCAGTATTTTCACAGGAAAAAAGCTTTACAGTTCAATGTGAGAGACAAACTGACAGAAAGTCTAATAATTAATGTGTGAATTATGAAAAGATAATCTCTTTGGGGTTTACATTAACAGCAGGTTCAGATTGGCCTTTTTCTTCAGCCTCTGTGCACCAGTGCGCAACAAGAAACTTCTCGTTAGGGTTTCTGGGAGTTTCTGTAGCTCTGAAGAAATTACACGGGGATGTTCAACAGGAAGTTTCCAGGAATAAATCCTGTGAGAAACCGATCATCTGAAGTACTGCAACTGTAACCATTTTTTTAATCCAGATGTTTTGCAATGCACAAGTGAGGAGGAGGGTGCTCTACTATTAAACACAATTTACTTCATGAGCATAGTGCTGTATAGAAGAGGTTATAAAATTACAAATAAATAAATGTATTTGGCAAAACATTTCTCAAATTTTCATTGAAAAAATAAAGAGTATAAAAGTTGTTTTCTTTGATGGACAGATTAAACTTAGCTGTAGACATCTTATATGGACAACTTCGTTCCCCTAAGGGTGCATAGTTTGTACACTGTCCACCTGTAGGGACATGCTCCCTTAGGACAAAGAATTCTGCACATGCAAATGATAAAGTTCATGGACAAAATATTTTACAACAAAAGTTTGAGCATCTTTCATCTGTAGACATGTTTTAAACTCACCCGCTAATACTATCAACATCCAAGATTTATCGTCATGTCCAAAAATAAAAATAAACTGAACAAAATCATTGCTGCATGGAAATTATTAAAGTCAGAGCTCTTCAATATTGAATAATAAATAAAGGATTTTTAAAATTTGGTTTAAAAAAAATTAATGCATTGCATTTAAAAACAGAAATTTAACAGAACAGTGTCCAGCAGGAGGACACCTACAAACCCACTGGAGCTCCAGCGGACACCAAAGTCATGTGAACTTTATAACATTTAGTGTTTAACTAAACAAATGGTGTTGTTAAATGATTGCAGCCTTTTAAAGCTTTAACAATGATTCCCACTTGCACGATTCATTCATTTTACAGCCTGTAAATCAGTTGCCGTGTCTCTCATTAGCCATTAGTTGTGTGAAAATGTGTTTTTTGTGTCTGTTTCTAGTGGCAGGCCATTTCTCTGACGGTGATTGAGAAGGTGCAGATTGCTGCCATCATCCTGGGCTCTCTGTTCCTCATGGCGAGTGTTTCCTGGTTGGTGTGGTCTTCTCTCAGCCCCTCGGCCAAATGGCAGCGGCAGGACATCCTGTTTCAGATCTGCTACAGCATGTACGGCTTCATGGACATAGTTTGCATTGGTAAGATGCTCCGACACATTAGGACTAGGTCCGTTTCACGTCAAGACACCAGCACAGTGCAACAAAAGGCTTTTCATTTTAACATGTTTACATGTTCATTTTCGAGCTTGTATTGTGAATTTAGCAGAAGCTATTTTTATTCTATAACATTCACAAACAACCCAAGTATCATTCTGTACCTTCAGTACATTTCCATGTTTTCTCATTTTTATTTGTTTTTAACAAAAAACAGTTTTTTTTTTTTTTTTTTATTCTGCCTAAACCTCGCAACTTTTTTTTTTTGCCTCTAACACCCAGGCCTTATAATCCACGAAGGCTCTTCTGTTTACCGGATCTTCAAGCGCTGGCAGGCGGTGAACCAGCAGTGGAAAGTGCTGAACTACGAGAAGGCCAAGGATTTAGGCGACCCCATCAGCTGCAGCGGTAAAGCTGCTGCTCAGGTCGAGACAAACTTTTCCAGTGGCCGAAGAATGAGCCGGTACGTCAGGACTATTCTCAACCACCACTGTGGCTACGCCATCCTGCACATCCTCAGCCAGCTGAGAGCGTCCAACCTGAGCGGCTCCAACCAGGAGATGGTCATGAGAGTGACAACCGTATGAGGGCAGGACAAACAGACTAAAGTCCTCAAAGAGGACGCTGAAGTGCTTATACACAGATATCCTAATGTGCCATAACAAACTGCCAGGAACTGTAGTTGTGTGTTTTGTTCTTGAACTCTCACAGAGCTATGAGGAGAAAAATGTTTCTGAGCTTTGTGAGGGCGAGGTCATTCCAATAAAACTTTGTGGGCAAACAAAATATTTCTGGGTAAAAAGTTGGATTTTTAAAACATGACACATCTTTCTAAATGGAACTGTTTATTTATGATTTTGTTAGTTGTTTTCAATTTTTAATTTATTCTTTGTACGCCCTGTGATGGACTTGCAACCTGTCCAGGGTGTCCACTACCCCTCGCATGTATAGTGACTGCTGGAAACGAGCTCCAGTGACCCCGTGACCTGAAAAGGAAGAAGTAGGTAAAGATAATGGATGGATGGATGGATATTTGTTGTATTTATAAAAGGATATTCATTGTTGACATAAAACGTTGATGATCAAAATTAGTGTGTATCCCCCACACACACGCGCACACACTAGATATGACCTTTGAAAGCTATTCAAGTTTTGACATATTTGCTTAAAAATACAAAAAAATAAAGTGTGTGCTGTTTGGTTTTTTTTTTATTTGCTATAAAAGACCAAAAGGATATAAAAGTAACATGTCTGTTTCAAATGGGCTGCAGAAATAAGACAGGAAACTTTCATATATGCATTTTATTTTAAAAAATCTAAAGTAACTGTAGTTTTATTTTCTGTTGCTGGTCATGTTTCTGTAAAGCAAGATTTACAAAGTGTAACAAATGCCGTTAGACGAGAGCTGTGCAGCACTTCTGTTAACTTTTTCCATGTTCTCGAATGCTTTAAAATAATGGGGGCAGACACTTAACATTTCATTATATTACACATGAGCAAAAGTTATTTTACAAATTAAAGATAATTAGTAAACCTGATTTAAATTGCATCCAAGTCAATTTATGATATAAATCAGTTTCAGTGTGATTGATTCCTCTTCCTCTTGACCTCTCTGTGGCTTCAAACATCTGCTAAGTTCGTCGCAAAAACCAATGCAAACATGTTCCTGTTTTTAGTCTACATCGCTTTACACTCCAGCTGCTTTTGTTTCATTTTTATTACATTTCCTTTCATTTGTTCTTCTTAATTAGTATGCTTTCTTTTATGATCGTCTACTGTTGTCTTTGTTTACTGTTGTCATCTCTTGAGCCTGAATGAATGGGAATACTGTAAATCCTTTTAATAAAAAAAAAAAAAAACCTTGTCATATGTTCTCTAATTGTATTATTTTTACAGAAAGTCTGATAACAAGTAAAACCGTCTAAAGACGATGTAACATTAAACAATGTTTTCAGAAGAGGCGAAGCCCCGTTAATTTTCCTCAACGAGCAAAGAGAAGACGCTTGGTGATGACGTAAAACCTCCGCGACTCTACATGTGCAGAAACTAACCGAGAGGAAACAAACGAAGTGTCTTCTTGTATTTGTCTGTAATTTGAAGACACATTGGGGACACCGTGAGGAGTCCAGTCTCTAGCTTAGTCCAACATGACTTCATCGATGCCGCAGAAGCGTTTTTACAGACAGAGAGCTCATTCAAACCCGATGGCTCACCACACCTTTGATTAGTGAGTGACTCCAGCACTTTCAACTAACTTGGTTTTCATCAGCCAAACAAACTTAAAGTAACTCAGGAGTGTCACCAAATTTAACAATTTATTAATCCAATCAAACAGCAGACACTAGTTTTCTGGTGTTCCATTGATTTAATATTAACTATGATAAAAAAAAAAAATTAAGAATATTTTGTAAAACAAAGAAAATTCATTTTCTATGGTAGTGTTTAGTAAAAATAGTACTCTGGTTAAGACTTAAATAATCCCCTATGTCCCCTATATATTTTTTTTTCTCAAGGACATTCTGTTGATTTCCAAAGTGGTCCTGACCAATAGAGCTTCAGGCTTTGTGAAGGTCTTTCACTTTTTTCCTTTGGACTTTGGATGCTTTTTCACTCATCTTCAGTACCTGATCATTTTCAGAGGAATGCGCTTTTGTTTGTTCAGTTTCTTAACTTAAAGATGGACCAGTGTTGCGGTGATACATACAAACAACTTATATAAAGTAGAAAAGAAGTAACCAAAGTAGATGGAAATGGCAGAATATATGTCAATATACCGCACTAGAAACTGAATGAGACACACATGCAGCTGTTTTTCTAATTTTAAGACGTAATCTTGTCTTTTTGTCTGAGTCTGATACTTCGAATCAGATTTGCTTTCACACCAGCTTCCCAGTTTCTGGTCTTCTCGGCTCATCGCCACACAGTCCAGTAGACTATTCAATGTTAGTGATCCTCGTTACACAATTTTGGACTTGCTCCCCAAAACCATTGAATCTTATTGCATTGTCAGAGACATTGATCAGAGAGTTGATTAAACCCTTCCATCACTCTGTTTTGCTTTAAAGATCCACCTAATTGAATCTGCTTATCATCTAATAGAAGTCACTATAGTCCAACTCTGATATCTCATGATAAAAGCATTCTTTCATTTTGGTGTATGTTATATAATTTGGCCTTTTTTTTTTCTTTCCTAAAATAAATTTTTCTCCCAAGAAATCTGTAATGCCCTTGTAAGTGACAGTAATGACTCAAATAAATTATTTTCATGATAGCAATTTCTATCCCTTGTTGTTGTCTGCAGTCTCTTTTCAAAACAATTTAAATTAAATTTTAAATCTTTGCATCTTACTGTGTCCTCCTTTAGTCCAGTATGTCCTGAAGAAATGGACTGGTCCAAGCTGTATCCAGACCTCACAACCTCTGACCTGTCTGAGAAAGATACCCCTCGAGTCGAATTTGCAGACATTGGATGCGGATACGGGGGCCTTTTAGGTAATAGGTTCACTGATCTGTTAGCCCGCACTTTTCTCTGCTCATAGTCTTGTTCAGTATTGATCTGATGTTTTGTGTCTTTCTTCGTCTTCACTCTCTCCAGTGGAGTTATCTCCACTCTTCCCTGATAAACTTATCTTGGGCTTGGAGATTCGAGTTAAAGTATCAGATTATGTTCAAGACCGTATTCAGTCGCTGCGTGCCTCTAACCCGGGAAGCTACCAGAACATCGCCTGCATTCGCAGTAATGCAATGAAGTACCTCCCCAATTTCTTCCTCAAAGGACAGGTACACTGAATAATGTTTAATGTGCATATAAATATACACAACTTTGAAATATAGCGGCTTTGACACCATCTTTGTCTAATCAATGAGTTTGACAGATTTTATTTGATTATTTCACTCAAACTGTTAGGCCAGAATCTGCAACCTTGTTTTTCTCTGTGATCCACAAACCTCTGTATGAACTGTTTTTTTAACCTCCTTTTCTTAGCTAATCTTTTATTAGCTACTGACTCAGGAGACTGCTGTTCTTTTCCGTTTAAACATTACAGCTGCCTTTGACACAGCTGACCACACCATTCTGATCTCCAGGCTGGAGCTCTGTGGTATCAAAGGCTCTGCACTAAACCAGTTCAGGTCTTACCTGTATGACAGGAGTTTTTCTGTAAGCCTCGGAGAGTCAGGTTCCTCTTCTGCCCGACTCACGTGGAGTTCATCAAGGATTTATTTTTGGACCCATTTAATTTTCCATCTACGTTTCGCTTAGATGCCATCTTTCAAGAAATCCATCATCCATTATCTTTACCCGCTTTTTTTTTTTCTCGAGTTGCAGGGGTCACTTGTACCCATATCCAGCAGTCATTGTGCGAGAGGCGTGGGACACCCTGGACAGGTTGCAAGTCCATCACAGGGACACACAGAGACAAATGAGACAAACAGCCATTCACTCTCTCACTCACACCTAGGGACAATTTAGAGTTACCAATCAGCCTAACATGCATGTTTTTGGACTGTGGGAGGAAACCGGAGTACTGGAGAAAACCCACGCATGCACGGAGAGAACATGCAAACTCCACCCAGAAAGGTTCCCGGCCGAGATTCGATCTGACAACCTTCTTGCTGAGAGACAACAGCTCTACCAACTGAGCCACCGTGCCGACCCTTTTCAAGAAATCAACATCTCTTTTCATTCCTACACAGTCGACACTCAGATTTGCCCCCATTTGAAGCGTAATAAGTTTTATTTGTTGAAACCACAGTTTGACTGTTTTGCTGAGATAAACGTTTGCATGGCTTCAAACGTTAAATGTCACTGAAGATAAAATTTGATGATATCCCCCTGGTTAAAGCTTCTCTTAAGTAGCTCCGTGATTGTTTTAGAATTGAGTTTAAATTTTTACTGATAACCTATAAAACCCTGAATGGACAGGCCCCTTTATATCTGTCTGACCTCCTGTAGTCTTGTATGCCCTCCAGATCTCTGAGATATGATAATCATTTATTTTTAGTTGCCCCAAGGTTCAGGCTGGCTCACAGAGGTGATTGGGTCTAAAACTGTATCTAGGTTCAGATGGTCCACAGAGGTGATTCGGTCTATAGTTATCCCCAGTGGTGGACACAGCTAACCATAAAGTTAGCTTTGCTAACAGCTAATTCACTATATAAAAAAATTTGCTTCGCTAATGCTAAACCGATTTAAAACAACGCCAACGCTAAAGCGCTAACTTGTATCATACACTTCTGTCGCTGACACTGTTAGACTGTGTAATGTGACAACGTTGTAAGTGAACACAACTCAAAACAGTTCGGAAATCACAAGTAAAGCGTCCATGTCCTGTTCAGAGATGAACTTTCAGAAATGAATCCGGTAATTCGATCCATCTGAACCGAAGAGGCTGCTGTGCTGAAGCAGAGTGATACATTCAGTGAGTGTTGGACGTCTCCCTCGTGTCATTTACTATAATGAATATAACCAATTTTAGCTATCCTTTTAGTAGTTGACTACTTTTATGAACTAACTGCAAATGTACAGTGCATCATCATCAATATTCTCTTAATAATAAATCTGTTTATGTTATAGTGAAGATGTGTGAAATGTGTGAGAGTCACGTCCCAGAGACAGCGTGAGCATTGCAAAGCATGCTGGGTAGGAATTATGTGTTCAATATGTCTGGCTGTTAATGGTCTTTCTGAGTGTGAAAATGAGTTTTTCATGTTATTTTCCTGTTCTGGTTTGGCTGGCGTTTAATCGGCTAAACACAAAGTTAATTCCGCTATTAGCAGATTAGTGGAACTTTGCCCACCACTGGCTGTCCTGAGGTCCAGGATGGTCCCTAAAGATCAGACCTTTTCAATTGTAGCTCCTAAACTGTGGAACCAGCTGCCTCCGTATCAGACAGGTTTCAGTTCTTATTGTTTTTAGGTCTCATCATAAACACATTTGTACTCACTAGATTTAAATAAAGCATGGAAATCAACAGTTTAAACATGTTTTTAGATATGCTGTATAAATAAATTTAACTTCATTTTATTTAACAATGTGTTCTATTGACTGACATCAGCTGAGCGCAAAGCAATGCATGACTTAATCTCAGACTTATTGAAACTATTTAGATTAACAGTTTGTTACAGGAGAAATTGTGTCGTACTATGTATCAGTGGGGAACATTCAGGGCCTTCACCGCCTTCGGTGAAGGCCTAAGAATACGGCACATATAAAATGTTACATTTAGAATTTTTATTTCATATTTTCCATCCATCCGTTACCTTTACCTGCTTCTTTTTGGGGGAGGTTGCCGGGGTCACTGGTGCCCATATCCAGCAGTCACTGTTTGAGAGGCGGAGTACACCCTGGACAGGTCTCCAGTCCATCACAGGGACACATAGAGACAAATGAGACAAACAACCATTCACTCTCTCACTCACACCTAGGGACAATTTACAGTTACCAATCAGCCTAACATGCATGATTTTGGTCTGTGGGAGGAAACAAGAATACCTGGAGAAAACCCACACATGCACAGAGAGAACATGCAAACTCCATCCACAAAGATCCCCGGCCGGGATTTGATCCGGCGACCTTCTTGCTGAGAGGCAGCAGCTTTACCAACTGAGCCACCCTGGTTTAATACTTTATATAAAATAAATATTTTCAGTGTAGTTTTTCCTATTTGTTTTTCTATTTTCTCTTATTTTCTGTAAACTACTTTACAGTTGAGCAGGAAGTATTTATTTATTCATTCATTTTTAAAGATACAGTTATCCAATCGGATTATTTTAAATTTTTGTCTCCAGGCAGAAACACGTTTGGAAGTTGTTTGTCACTGGTTAGGACTTCACTTTCATCACAGAAGGAAAATTCAGGGATTCTCCAGGATTTATTTAATAACTGATGGCAAAATTAACCAATCACAATGTTGACGTAGAGTGGGTGGGACCAAAACATGGGACACTGAGCCTTCGAGAAGGCCTTGTACATGACACCATAAGTCAAATGTTGCACGTGATGAACGCCATTCCCGACAACTAGTTACTGATTTGTGAAACTGAAAGTAAAGTGTTGTAATCAAACTGTAACCCTGTAGTATATTCAGCGTTGGTATTTAATAGGATGTTACAATAATGAACTGAAGGCCTACCTCTTATAGTCGACGTTTACCACTGCTGTAGATGAAAAGGACAGATGACTGAGTGCTTATAATCTAGGAACTGGGACGGACGATAGGGCATCTCTAAAAGTGACACAATTATGGAAATGTAATGATGTTGGAAAAGCTACAAACACATCCTTTAAAATTTTAAATGAGCTATTTAAGTTAAATTAAAATTATATGGGTGGATGGCTTCAAACTTTCAAAGATAAAACTGAAGTTATTATTTTGGGCTCTGTGGAAAGCACAGAGCTTCTATGGAAATGGACAGCTTGTAGCCATTCGTAAAATCTCACATAAAACATTTGGGGTGATATTTGAATCAACTTTTAATATTATTCACACTTATTACATACCAACATTGTTATAGTAGCTCTCTGCATGACTTCATTTAGTTTAACACAAACAGAAAAGTGAACATTTGGCAGAAAGGGGCAGAAATTTCTCTTTTTATCATGGTTTGCAGACCCCTGGTCAAGTGGTTCTGCATTTAAGGCTCCTCAACCTCCTGCCTGAGGGGAGTGGGGCAAAAAGTATGTGTGCTGGGTTTGTGGGGCTCTCTTCCTGCATCTGGAGGTGTAAATGTATGTGCTGGTGGAGAGACTGACTCCATCAATCTTCTGTGCAGCCTTCACCACTCTCTGCAAAGCTTTTCTTTCTGCAGCTGTGCAGCCTCCATGCCACACGTTGATGCTGGAGCACAGGATGCTCTCCACAGCTCACCTGTAGAAGGAGGTGAGGACTGAGCTTCCCAGTCCAGCTCGCTTTTAGGTCTCATTTTATTTTAAAACACTGGATTTTAATACAGACTGAAAGTCAACATTTTTTACACTTTTTCATTTGTCTTGTTTTATGGTCTAATAATACTACTTATAAATACTTTTTGGAGTTCGTTATGTTCTTTTGTGTTTTGTAGTACCTTTTTACAATTGTTTTGTGTGCAGCACTTTGAGATTGCTTGTTAGGAGATAGCATGGATTTGAGGAAGAAGTTAAGCTTGATTTTTTACGTTAATCAGTCCAAAATCATTCCTGTGAATTTAATACCAATGAACATCTTCTGCAGTTTGCTTTATCAGTTCTCTGCAGCTCATAATTAGGACATGAGGATCAGGAGACCACCCAGACAAATTGTCTTCACACGCATGAATCAGCACATTATAATGACTCAAAATGCTATTTTTTCCCCTCTCTGGTTTGTTTTGTATCCTAAAAATAATTTAAAGTTTTGAGGTTTTTCCATCTTCCATCAGCAGTCCCTGAGGCTTCAGCCGTTCCCGGTGATTATGCCCCACGTCTTTCTGTCTGTACCAGATGTTATTTATTTTAGCTAATAAAAAAATGACTGGAGTGATTATTTTGAATGTATCAGTCAGACTAGTGTCAGTGAAGCCTGCTCACGTACGCTCATGAAAGACAGAAACACAGGAAACTTTATATAAAAAAACAGGGAATTTCCAGTCCTGCAATCTCGAGTGTTTAACAACCAGCCACAGATTATTCGACGACATTTACGGCTCAGTCAGAAACTCTTCAGGTTCTTTCTCCTTTTCACATTTTATGAGCCTAATCTTGTTGGCTTTAAAAAGAAAAGGTTTTCATTGCCTTCTATGTAGTTTACCCATAATAATAAAGTTTAATTCATATGTTCTTATTGATATTAATGATTTTTTTTTTTTTTTTTTTACATTCGTTCAACCTTTATTTATACAGGTTAGTCTCGTTGAGTCACGAGGACTCGTTTTCAAGAGAGACCAGTTTTAGACAGATAACATATAAAGTACAGATAACAGTAATTTAACAAAAAGAAATTACAATCAAATAAAAGAAGTTATAAACACAGTCAAATCAAGATGCTATAATATAAAACAAGCTCAAATACTAAAAAGAACATATTTGCTTTGATATTTCTATTGACATTATCAGTTTAAAATCCCTTAAAGCAGTGGTTGTCAAACTGGGGTCCCTTGATCCCCGGCGTCCGCAATTTTTTATTTTTTTTACAAGCACGTTAACAACCCATTAAAATACAAAATGCAGGAAATCGCATCTACTTTATTCAAAATTTTCTGGGGTAATATTTTTACTGTTGTGCTAATACTGATTCAGATTTTAAATAATTTAACTTCTGCGTACGTAGTGCTATGCTAGCTATTCATTTGGCAAAGTTTTTGGCTCATTCAGGGGGTCGGGGCTATGCATTTTGGTTCTTGTAACTTTTATACATTTCAAAATAATTATATTTACAATTATTTTCCCCATAAAACACATTAAGATATTAAGATCTCCTTATGCATTCTGAACTATTGTTCTCCTCTCAATCCTCTATAATGTACTGACTCTGCTTTTATCTTTTTTGCTACTTTTATATTTCCCTTTGTCACTATTATACAGAGGAGGATTAGGGCCACCATGATATATATATATATATATATATATATATATATAAATTCTGACTTTAATCTCAGAATTTTGAGATTAAAGTCGAACTGAGAAAAAAAGTGTGTTTTGCACTGTGGCCCTAATCCTCTTCTGTACAATTAGCTGTTGTTCAGCTATTTTTAGTTTTAGCTTATCCTTTTCTACATTCATGTAGCCTTTTTGTATTTTTAGCAACACTTTTGCTACTTTAGCATTTCAAAGGCTTTTACAAATATTTAGCTATGTGGCTTTTTGCAAATTTTATCTTTCAGATAGCATTTTACGACTATTAGCTTCTAGCTGTCAGCTTTCTATTTATAGCCTTTAGCTAACTTCTTACTACTTTTAGCTTGTGGCTACTGTTTTCCTTTTTTTTTAGCTTTTAGCTAATCTTTTACTATGTTTAGCTTTTGGAAAGTCTTTTGTTACTTTTTCATTTAGCTAGCTTTTTGTTATATCTAGCCTTTTGCTATTGTTTTTTTACTTTAAGTCTTTAGCTTAAGTTTATCTATTTTTGCCTTTTAGCTAATGTTTTCCTCTTTTACTTTTTATCTAGGGTTCTGTTTGTTGAATTTTAACAACTCAGTTTTAGTTTTTGACAGGGAAACAACTCAGTTTGAGCTTTTGTCCCCCACACTGAATTTTCACTGAAAATGCAATTTTTATCTATTTCTTTCTGTATTTGGTGTATAAATTTGAGAAAATATCTTTTTTTAATTTTTATCGTGAATACCTGATAATCTTTTGCTGTGTCTTTCAGCTCAGTAAGATGTTCTTCCTCTTTCCTGACCCTCACTTTAAGAAGACCAAGCACAAATGGAGGATCATCAGCCCCACGCTGTTGGCAGAATACGCCTACGCACTGAGAGTTGGGGTACGTATGTGTGCCGCTTGTTCCACAACCAAGTGTTGAACAAAAACTGAATCAATCATGCAACTGTTTCTGTGTTTTCCATTATAAGAATGTGTTCTGTGAGGTTTACTGTTCCAGGTTTTTATAGTTTAGTCTCAAAATGGCTTTAGCTTTTTTCTTATTATCAATTTATACAAAGTTCTGTACTAAACAGCCTTTTGCAGTGTTTTACAGATTAATCTAAAAAATAATGCCAAAATTAGAAATACATAATAATAATATAAAGCCTAGCAAGTCCTGATAAGACTATTTAGTTTTCATAGTAAAGCTCAAAATCTTGTTCTTTGAGAAATGATTATCCTTGTCAACAATACCATTTGTTCCCTGTTTAATCAGTTTTATGGGGCACTCAGATCTAGAACAACTATTAGTAGCTATAAACTTCTCCCATTTTAAAACCTTTGGCTTTTAAGAACCTACAATCCTTCAGGGGTTCCCTGTGTCCTTCTGCAAGCTGTAGGTGAACACTGTTTGAGGTGCACAGGCAGCTCTGTCAACCTGGTAACTTTGTTTTCACTCTGACCCGCACAAACCATCAGCAGTAACGACATTTGGGTGTTGGCTTGTTCTCAGTCTGTCCAGAACTTTAAATTAAGCTCGGCTGGACTCCAGGAAAGTTATAACAACAACTTAAAAACCTCTGAAACGTGCATCAAAATACACAGCAAATGAAGGAGCAGGTCACTCAGTGCAACCAGTTAATTTTATCCAAGTATGGAGACAATATTGAAAAAAAGATTATTATAGTTTTGATTGTATCTACCGGTATATACTATCTATATGTATCCTTATTAGGTTCTAGCATTTTATTAATATTTAAACGTGTTTAAAACAATTTGTACACAGTTGGAAGTATTTTAATATATAAACAACAAACTTGTGCTTTAAGAAGCATTATCAAGGAAACCTGCATGGACTTTTTTGATTATCAAGGAAAGTTAGCTGAAGCGCCAGATTTATTCGGAGCAGACCGTGCAGGGGCCAGACTTTGATTCATCATGTTCCTGATAATTATGTCCTGTTTTATTTATTTTGATGTTTACCATCATAAAGAGTCAAGACTCGCAGGAAATACAAAAGTTTGGCCTATGTGAGACTTGAACTTGGGAGTTTTTTTTAGCTTTTCACATTCATTTAGCTACTCGGGACTCTTAATTGGCTAAAACCACTGCCATTAACCCCTTCTGAATTGAGCTAAAGCTAATTTTGTACTAAATTGTGCCTAATTTTATTTAATAAAATCAAATAGCTTAATATTTTGATTTAAATGTTGGAATAATTGGATCCTTAAAAGAAAGTCAGCTCAGCAATTGGGGTGTTGTGTTGTTTTTCCATGTGAATTTGCTCGTATTGATCATCTTGGTGCTAATCACTGCCCAATGAATGTTGATTAACCTGATAGCTGTCTAGCTGTCATTTTCGTATTTTAGTAAGGACAGAAAATAAGTCTATAAAATATAGTTAAAGTTATCATAACATGACTGTCTTTAGTAATGACACTGAAGCGTTTGATTTGTGCAGAAATTTCCAGTGAAAAATGGTGCTAGCTAATCACATTAGCGTTTCTATGACATTTTTAATATTAAGTTAGCATCTATGCTAATAGTTGATTAGCAGCCTGTGATTATTTGGATTTATTTATTTATTTTACATGTTATTTTTAGCTCTTAAGCATGACAATATATACATCTAATAATTTATGTAAGAAAAGCATAGTCAGTTTGGTTCAAGGTAATTCACATGCATCAATAATTGTTTTACAATCACATGACAGCCTTCTGATTTGTATTTAAATTGTGACTATGCCTAAATATTCTCACCATATTGCACGGACCAGATGGCAGTGGGCTTGTGTGCTGTATGTGGCACATACAGGGACCTACAGTTGATGATCACAAATTTTAACTAGAAAAACTGCATTTCCTGTGAAAATGCAGTGTGAATGCTTATTGTAAAACTTGCTGAAAAACAGCTGAAATTAGCTATAAAAAAATCATGCTGAAATGTAGCTGAAAATGTAGAACAAGCGTAAATCATCAGGAGAAAGCAGAAAACACAAAAGTTGAAACGATTGCAAAAAATGTGGAATTAGCTGAATAAGCTAATATTAGCATAAAACAGCTAAATAGTAGCTGAAATAACCAGCAGAAATAGGCTGAAAGAAGCATAACAAGTTGAATTTAGCAGAAATAATTTAATTTGGCTGAAAGTAGTAAAAATTAATATGAAAAACTTTAATTTATCTGAAAACAGCAGAAATTAGCTAAAAAATGCTAAAAAGTTAGCTGAAAAGGTAGAAAAAGCTTAAATTAGCAGAAGAAAGCAACAACACATGTTTGCTCAAATAGGCCGAAAAAAGCAGAAATGAGCACAAAAGTGGAAATTACCTGAAAAAAGCTGAAATTAGCATAAAACCAGCTGAAAGGTAGCTGAAAAGCAGAAAGGAGCTGGAATTACAAGAAGGAAGTTGAAAGAGCACATTTTTTGCTGAATTAGGCTGAAAAAAGTTGAAATGAGTGCAGCAAAAGTGGAATTAGCTGAGAAAGCAAAAATTAAAATAAAACAGCTAAATAGTAGCTGAAATAGCAGAAAAAGTTGAAACTTACAGAAATAAGCTGAAAGGAGCATAACAAGCTGAAATTAGCTGAAATAACTTAGAAGAAGCACAAAAATATTGTAGTTAGCATACAGATCCTGAAACAATCATAAAACAGATAGAAAAATAGCTGAAAGTAACTGGAAAAAAGTTTAAATTTGCACAAGAAAGCTGAAAGAAGCTTAACCGGAACAAAATGTGAACGGAGCAGTACAAACAGATCTAAAGATTTGAAGGATGTAAAATGAGTTCAATTCATTTTCTATGAGAAAAAAAATTAGTAGAATCAGCTAACCATTTCAAAAAACTAAAGTTGCACCAACACCAAATGTCATGGCGCCCTTCTCCTGAACGAGCTGAACGTTTTGACATGTGATTTGTTGAAATAGCACAAAAATTGTGAAACGAGAAAGATGCTGAAAAATGTACAGAAGAAAAATGGATCCCAATAGTGTGAAAGCTTCATAAACATTCACACTATCAAAGTAGGATATTTTATTTTTTCTGTTTTTATTTTGTCCATCATAGACTTTTGCATCTATTACTGTTTTATCAGTGACTTGCACTGTGCAGAAATGCTTAAGTTTACTGGAGCTAAAGTGAGCAACCGGTGTGGCCTGCAGCAGCTGTGCCCCTTCCCTTCCCCCACCCTCCACCAGCTGTCAGTGCAGCACTGGGACTCTTGAACAGCACGGAAGCTGATGAGGACTTTTTGAGAACAATGCAAGACTTGTGTCTAAATTTGACTTTATCGTTTTTCCTCTGGTGTGCGCGCTAATGGATTTGTGCATGCATATGTTTGATTGTGTGTGCACGCACGAGCGAGAGAGAGAGCGAGCTCTACACCGGCCTTAAGCACTGGCACAAAGCCATATCTTTGCTGGTGGTTGGGGAAGCTGTGAGAAATCTGCTAATTTCCAGAGGCGGTCTCACGCCACATTATTTATGTCACAAATATTCAAATGTAGAATGTGATCAGACAGCAGCCAAAACGACAAGCAGCAGTGATTAAACAGCAGTAACTGGTGTGAATTAAGTGTTGACCACACAGTCCCTCTTCATAACCCTCTCTAGGAAAACAAGCCATACGTGATGAAACGCACTTGTGTGGAAATGTGTGCCAATGCAACATTTTCCAAGAAATCTCTGTTCTGGTCATTTTATCTTTCCAGTCTCAAAAGTAAACACTACTGACCCAGGTGATTCACCTCTGTGTTGTCTGGGGACTATTTTTATCTTCCTGCAGGGGATGAAAACCTCACTTGAAAAACCTAATATTTATAATTCAGGGGAAAACTAATAGATTTGTGTTTTATTTTTCTGTAAAACTTCATTAACCTTTTTTTTTCTCTCTCTCTGTTTTAATAACCTTCGTGTGATTTTTTGCTCTTGTCAGGGTTTAGTGTACACAATAACAGATGTGGAGGAAGTCCACCTCTGGATGGTGAAGCACTTCACCGAACACCCACTGTTTACACGGGTCACAGAAGAAGAACTGGTACGTGGATGTGGAGATATTCATTACTGTGTTTCCACTTTATGAATGGAGCTTATCTGCTCTTTGAAGAAAAATGTCAGTGTAAATTTAATGAACGGGGACAGGAATGTGTTTTAACATGCTGGCTACATTTTTATCAAGACAGAATCGTTTATTCAAATAAGCCAATTTGCATTTAAGATTTTTGGCAAAGAACAAAACCAAAAATCCAGTTTTCCTGTGAAAATGAATGACTGATGTCATAGTTTCTTTGCTTATAGATGTAACCTCACATTTTCACTACTCACACTTGTTCTCCAAGAGTTCCTTACACAAACACAATGTTGCTAGAACATTTGTAACTTTTAAATTATTTAAAGAAACTTAACATGACTCTAAACATCATTGATTTTTACACTGGTTACAGATTAAAATAAAATTTTAAACTGAAATACTTTGGTCATGGTCTTTTGAGCAGGCGGCACAGTTGGTAGTGCTGTTGCCTTTCAGCGGGAAGATTGCCGGATCGAATCTCGACCGGGAACCTTTCTGGGTGGAGTTTGCATGTTTCTTCCGTGCATGCGTGGGTTTTCTCCGGGTACTCCGGTTTCCTCCCACAGACCAAAAACATGCATGTTAGGCTGATTGGTAACTCTAATAGTCCCTAGGTGTGAGTGAGAGTGAATGGTTGTTTGTCTCATTTGTCTCTATGTGTCCCTCTGATGGACTGGAGACCTGCCCAGGGTGTCCCCCTCCTCTTGCACAGTGACTGATGGATATGGGCACCAGTGACCCCCGTGATCCAAAAAGAAAGATGTGGGTAAAGATAATGGGTGGATGGATGTCTTTTGAGCAAATTTGAATTGTTTGTTTGTTTGTTTGTTTAGATGTCTGAAAAATCAGCCACTTGGGAACCCAAGCCAGTGTATCTTTAGTGCCGGTCCTAAACCCGGGTAAATGATGAGGGTTGTGTCAAGAAGGACGTCCGACGTAAAACACTTTTGCCAAAGCTAACATGGAAGTTCATCTAAGCGACACCATAGCGGATTGGTCAAGACCCATCGACTGACACTGGTGCTGTTAACAAACAGGGTTCTGGCGGAAACTGTGCTACTGTTAGTCGAAGACCACGAGGAAGGAAACATGTCAGGAGACAGAGGGAGAAGAGGAAAGTCAAGAATGTAGGACTGATGGTTGCAACTCTAAATGTGGAGACAATGATAGGCAAAGGTGGAGAGCTGGCTGACATGATGCAGAGAAGGAAGGTAGATGTTTTATGTGTCCAAGAGACCAAGTAGAAGGGCAGCAAGGCTCACAGGATTGGAGCAGGGCTTAAACTGTTTTATCATGGGGTTGATAGAAAGAGAAATAGAGTAGAGGTGCTCCTGAAGGAGGAGTGGGCAAAGAATATAGTAGAAGTGAAAATAGTGTCAGATAGGATGATGTGTCTGAAGGTAGAAGTAGAAGGTTTGATGCTAAACATTGTCAGTGGTTAAGCTCCACAGGTTGGATGTGATGTGGAGGAGAAAGATACATTTTGGAAAGATCTGGATGAAGTGATAGAGAGCACTCCCAGGGAGGAGAGATGTTAAAAGAAACAGAGGGGATGAGGAAGTGATGGGAAGGTTTGGTATCAAGGAAAGAAACCAGGAAGGACAGATGGTGGTAGATTTTGCCAAGAGAATAGAAATGGCTATAATCAACACTTATTTCCAAAAGAGGGAAGAGTAGAGTGACCTATAAGAGTGGAAGCAGGAATACGCAGATCGACTACATTCTGTATAGAAGAGGAAACCTGAGGGAGATTGGGGGACTGTCAGGTTGTGGCAGGGGAGAGCATGGTCAGACAACATCAGATGGTTGTGTGTACAATAACTGTTGTGAAGAAGAGTAAAATCAGAGAAGAAGACCAAATGGTGGAAACGGAGGAAGGAAGAATGTTGTGAGAAATTCAGAGAGGAGCTGTTAAAGGCTCTGGATGGTAAGAAAGAGTTTCCAGATGACTGGGCTACTACAGCAACAGTAATTAGAGAGACAGGTAGGAAGGTACTTTGTGTGTCATCTGGATAGAGAATAGATGAGAAAGAAACTTGGTGGTGGAATAGTGAAGCGCAGGAAGCTATTCAAAGAAAGAGGTTAGCCAAGAAGAAATATGACAGTGAGAGGACTGAAAAAAGTAGACAGGAATATAAGGACATGCAACGTAGAGGGAGGTAGCAAAGGTAAAGCAGAAGGTGTATGATGAGTTGTTTAGGAGGCTGGACGCTGAAGAGGGTGAGAAGAACTTGTACCAATTGTCAAGCCATATAGATGAGGTTAGAAAGGATGTGTAGCATGTTAGGTTTGTTAAAGGTAGGAATGTTCTTACAAGTGAAAATATTGTGACGGGAAGATGGAAGGAGTACTTTGAGGAGCTAATGAATGAAGAGAATGAAAGAGAAAGAAGAGTAGATGTTAAATAATTTTCCTGATCAATGTGAGGGAGGTCTACAATTTATATACTGAAAGAAACTATCCAGGGATTTTTTTTGTGGCCACTTGAATGGAGCTGTCTTGTCTTAAATGTATCATATTTTTACAAAGTTGATTTATATTTACATAACTTTAAACACATTATTATAATATTGTATAGTTATTACAACCTGAAGAGCAACTAAAATGCTCTTTCTGAGCTGTCCAGGAATATTTTTGTGTGTGCCTCGATACACTCCCAGAGATTATTGCTGTTAATCTCAGGCTCTGCTAAATCCCTGTTATTTACATGAAATATGGGGTCATGTCATCTGATCCCTCTAAGTTATTACACCTGATTCAGCTTCACATTAAGGGGCAGCTGTGGCTGAGTGGTTAGAGCAGTTGTTCTCCAATGGGAGAGTTGGGGGGTTCAATTCCACCAGCAGTCACATGTTGAAGTGTCCCTGGGCAAAACACTGAACCGCTCGTTGCCTCCAATGTGTGCAATGAATGTGATCTAAAGCAATGATTGGTCTCTATAGAACACATTTGTGTCAAACTCAAGGCCCGGGGGCCAAATGCGGCCCTTGTTGACATCTTATTTGGCCCCTAAGATGTTATTTTAAATGTAAAATACTTTTATCACTTTTTTCAGTAATCTTTGATTATAATGTCAAAAGTGCAACAGAGAACATCAAACGAGACCAATCAAACTCTTGTTGAGGAACCTGCAACCAAGAAAAGATGTTGGATATCTAACTTGAGTTAATGTAGATTCCGAAACCGGCCCTTAGTTTGAAAGACGTTTTAATTTTGGCCCCCTTTTGTAAGTGGGTTTGACACCCTTGCTATAGAAGGATTGCTCAGTTAGCTTCATAGAGATGTAGTAGAGTGCAGTACAAATGTATATGGATTGGTTAAAATAGGCACAGACTGTGCTGTAAAACACTTTGAGTATTTTGATTAGATAGAAAGGCGCTGTATAAGTACAGTCCGTTTATCTTTTACTGTTAATCTGGGAGCTTTACTTATTTCAGCTATTAGTATTTAGTTCTTTTCACAATAATAAAACAAACAAATATACTTTTGTCCTATGTGATCAGTTATACTGTGTCGTAACTATCTGAACTTGCATGAACCACAGCTAATTGTTACTTAGACAAGGAAAAGTCTGAAAGAGTGACTAGGCCTGTCACGATAAACAATAAATCAATTAATCGCATGATAAATGAAAATTATCGCCCTCGTTGTCATTTATCGGCTTTATCATTTCTTCGTCCCTCTCGTTCTACTAAAGACACTGGATGACAAGGCTCAACTCTGGTGTTCTTCACTAATCCCCCCCTTTCTCTTTTCGCTTTAAAATCTGTTTTAACCGTCCAAAATTGTGTTTTTGGATCATTAAAAGCAGCTAAGCTGAGAAGCTAAGCTACAAGCTAAGCTAACAGGCCAACCTCGGGGAAAAAACCTGTTTTGTCGAAGCTCCAAAATTCACAGTTGAAACCCGTGCCTTCATCTAAAAAGTTTTTTTTTTTTCTCTACAAAAAGAAGCTGAGAACTTGTTTATTGTGTTATTTTATTAAAAGCTTTGTGTGACAAATTCTATGCTAAAGAGCTCAAACCACACCGAGCGTCCGCCATTTTAACCGAATAAAGGAAGGAAAGGCAGCCCGTGTCACATAAAGGGGACTCCCTCACATTTTTCTTAAAAAGACACGCTGCTTGCTCCCTCACTATCCATCCTTCAGTCCAAACAGTCTTATACTGTCATCCGGTGATCGCAAAAAGGTACTACACTGAAAATAGAATTAACCAACATTTCTTCTTAAATGTGACAATAATTACTAATTATTGTCAAATTTCAAACAATATTATTGTTTATCGCAATAATTTCTGAGACAATTAATCGCCCAGCAAAATTTGTTATCGTGACAGGCCTATCTCTGACTGAATTTGATAATAGATTTTTTCCAGCTATTGTGGGCTATTTTAGAGCTTTGGTTTATGAAAGGAAAAAGCTTTTATCCCACCATTAATCAGACCTTAGACTTTTTTCTCTGAGTTTTTTTCTGTTCTTTTAACAGGTTGATGACGTCATCGTAAGTCGTCTGGGGACATGTACGGAAGAAGGGAAGAAAGTGCAAAGGAATGGCGGGAAGAATTACCTCGCAGTTTTCTGTAGGATTGAAGATTCCCTCTGATGCCAAATGTTGTGAAAGTGCTTTTTGTTTCTTTATTTTACTTGTATTAATGAGCGATGTTATAGACTTTTTAAGCTTTTTAATTGCATTGTGTTCTTCGGTTCACATGGGAAATAAAGCTTAAAATAATTTTTATTATTTTCTTTATTTTCTTAAGCAGTTTTTATTTTTTGAAAGACATAGTTCAGCTCTTTTTGAAATTTGGCTCTGTGGAAAGTTCATCTATTGTAGATAGCGCCTTAGACAACCTCCCTTTGGAGAATTACCGGTAGTTTAGTTATGGCTGCACTGACAAGTTAACAGCTAGTCCGAGCATGATCGATGGATAGCAGCCATCTTAAAACAACTCCAGTCTAAAACATTTCATAGCTTGTCTTTCCCAACACTGTTTTGTAAACCTAAAATTTCTTCAGTTTTGCATTACATGGATCGTTACGTAGCATTATCTGATTATTTGCAACCGCTAACACTGGCAGCTTCCTTTAGCTTCGTTAGCTGTAGCCTTTCTGGTGCAGGCAGGAGCACTTCCTGCAGGAATATTTTAATAAAACTGTTTATTGCAAAGATTATAAAGTAGTTTTCACCTTAACTAGTGTGAACATTTTTAGGCTGGTGTTGTTTTAAGACTGCAACAGTCCACTTTGGAATTGGCTTCCCCCAGACTAGCTGCTTGATCTCAACTCTGTTTTTTTCAGTCTTAGGTTGTGCAAAGAGCTATCAACAATATAATATATGAGTTGTTCATAAAACATTCTTACAAAACACTGTTTCAAAAAACTGAACTATCTCTTTACAGTAGATGTGTTTAAGTTTGACTCCTTACCTACTCAGCTTCAGGAGACAAGATCTGAGTTTTTTTATTTCATTTTGCAACATGTTTGAAACAACTAAAATTTGTTTGAATACAAACTTTGTTCTGGGTTTCATTTTCTATCTGCAAAACAGTAAAAATTGATTCCAATTTTTTTTTTTTTTTTTTGTGCATTTGAACTTGTTTTGAGTCATGGTCTGTCTAGTGGAAAGACAAGTTAGCGACAGCTCATTCTGTCAGATTTAATATGATGAGCAATTATCTTTATCTGTCAGGCTATCTTTGTGAAGTTCAAATCACAGTTTGGTTAAGGGAACAGTAGCTTTGTGTTTATTTTGGGATTCAAACTATATATTACAGGTTGGTATTTTTGGTCTGTCAGGACTTTAGGAACGGGATGGCGCAAGTCTGAAAGCCCTTTTTCTGCTTCAGGCTGTGATGATTATGAACAGGACAGCACATGCCTTAATGATGGAAACTGACACTAGAAAAATCAAACAGTATTGAATCACTCAAACTGTAACAATTATTTTTATAAATTCCCTCTTTGTTCTTTTCAGGTTTAGGCATTTTGTTATATTTTGTAAGATACAAGCCTAAAATGTCCCATAAACATAATTCAAGATGAGATAGAACTTTATTGATCCTGCAGGAAATTGTTGTGCCAGAGTTTCAGTACAAGGGATTCTGCATATTTTTTAATATTCTGTAATGTGTTGAAGTTTACCTTTTAGTTTCAAAACTAAAGGTTGCTTGAATTTTCAGTGACAAATGATGCTTAAACACACCTTGCAGTTTTAAATATCATAATGTGCATATTTTATTTATTTTTCTCAGTATTATAACATCTTAAAGGATGAGTCAGGTCTTTTTTGAAAATGTATTTTGTCAAATATTTATCAGTAGTTTGTACCTTATCAGTCCCAAGTATTCAGAATAGAGAAAAGAGCAGAGGTCTTGGCCAAGGCTAGGCTAGTGGTTAATTAAATAAGAACTGTTTTTTGTTTCGTGAGACATATAAAACAACTTTTTCTCAAATGCGACACAGCGGTGTGAAAGAAGCTATTACTGAAGCTCTACATTTTCTCATGACACGATTTGGTTTTGCTCTTTTCTCAACCAAACAACATCCATGTTTTTATAAGAACATTCTGAGCATAGACGGGTGTCCACTTAGACTTACCTTAGATGTTTCTGTTCACTGCCCTGTGCTGACTTCTGTTGTGACTTGGCGCTATATAAATAAACTGAATTGAAATAAGAGCAGGAGTGTTGACTCACTTGAAGTTGCTGAATGTATCAACCAAGAGTTGAGTAAACTTTTAATTAACTAGACCCGCTGATAGATTCAGAGCCTCGGCATCATCAGTTGATTGGCTGGTTTTAGTTGGTTGTTTGATTAAAGCTGGACATTTTGGGTGGTTTAAGTAAATCCTTGATCTACCTTGAAGTAGATCCAGTGCTCCTTGCACTGCTCAGCAATGTCCTCAGTAGCTGTTCCCCACCCAAACCAAGCACAGCCTTGGATAGGGTCAGCTTTCCTTTTCTGAGTTGCCAAATGGTTTGCTAGAACTTCCTCGAAACCGACCGAAAGTCCTTCTCCATGGCCTCCCCGAATTCCTCCCATACCTGAGTTTTTGCATCTGCAACCACCAAAGCTGCAGTCCTTTTAGCCACCCAGTACCTGTCAGCTGATTCAAGAGTTCTCTGGAACAACCAAGTCCTGAAGACCTCTTCCTTCAGCTTGACAGCCTCCCATCACTTGCTGGTGGACTGCAGCAGGTCCTTTGGTTGCTGCCCCGACAGGCACCAATGACATTCAGGCCATAGCTCCTGCAAGCTGCACATGCAATAGAGGCCCTGAGCATGACCCATTCAGATTCCATGTCCCCGACCTCTCCCAGGACATGTGAAATACTCTCCTGGAAATGTAGGTTGAAAGCTGGGCTGAGGGCTCCACCAGATGTTCCCAGTTCACCCTTACTATGCATGTAGGTTTACCAGGTCTGACTGGCACCTTCCCCCACCACTGGATCCAACTCATTGCCAGGTGGTGATCATGATGGTGACCTGAGTGTCCAAGACATAGAGCTGCATGTCTGACAGGATTACAAAATTGATTATCGATCTTTGGCCAAAGATGGCCTGGTACAGTGTACACTTTAGCCGCTTTTCTCTTGTGAAGTACCACTCAAATCGCTTTGTTTTTATTCGGTTCTACTCAAGTGTAGGTGTGTCTCCATTGATAATGTGTTCCTCACTCTGTGGGCGAGATTGTGAGTGGGATCGTCAGTTCAAAGTGGGCGGTATTCAGATTTCATATTTTAAACGTTATCCCCTCACTGTCCATAAGTTTGAGTGTATCTTTAGGCAACCAGTTTTTCAGACACCTCCTGGTACACTTGCTTGCTCCCCATGACTCTGTCTAGCTCACACTGTATGCACTCATCAGCCAAAATGAATAAAAAGGTTAGCACCTCATTGGTCCATGGAATTACATGTTATTTGCAGGTTGCCATCTGTATCTCAGGAAAGTATGCTTTGCACTGATCAGATTGAAAATGGTGCTTCAGGAGGAATTTGAAAGTACAGTCTTGGCTCATCTAGTGTCGTCAATCCACAGGCCAATCAACAGCTGCAGTTTGCTGACATCAAAATCGCTCCCTTGGCTTGGAACCATGGCTGAGGCAGGAGACACAATTGGCCAATGCTGATTCAATGCAAACTGATTAAAACAAAGCCTGTGGAAAAATGGTTTTATGAACCACACTATGGGCAGCACGGTGGTCGTTATGGGCAACCCAAGAAACAGATCAGGAAGGCTGTTCCTTCCAATCACCCCAGTCCAGATGACTGTCATTGCCCACATGGTCATTGAAGTCACCCAGTAGGGAATGCCCAGATGGTACCCCTTCCAAGAGGCCACCCAGAGACTCCAGAAAGGCCGGGTAATTCAAATTGATGCTTGGTGCGTAAGCACAAACAACAGTCAGAGCCTTCCTTCCTGCAGTCCAAAGCCACAGAGGGAACACTTTCGTTCCTCGGGGAAAACTCAGACGCCAAGGCCAGCCAGGAGCTTGTGAGTATCCTCGCACCCGATCAATGCCTCTCTCACTGTTAAACTATGGAGTAGGAGAGAGTCCAGCCTCTCTCCAGAAGTTGGGTTCTAGACCCCAAGCTGTGCATAGAGGTGAACCCAGCTATATATAATTGGTATATACCACTCAACCTCACACACAAGTTCCAGATTTTTACCTGCCAGTAAGGTGACTTTCCATGTTCCTAGAGCTAGTCTATGTCACTAGAAATTGGCATGGCCAGAGACCCTCCCTCACCTGCCACCTTGCATGCACAGCATCAGATCTTGACGGACCTCATGGCAGGTGGTGGGTTCATGTGCCAATGGATTCCTGTTATTTCCAAGCCCCAGGATCCAAGGTTTGAACACCTGGCGAAGCCTCCCAATCCCTAGACCTGGCTCCAGGGAGGTGCCACAGTTTCCCTTTTACGGGCAAGGTTTCATGATGCATTTTGTTGTTTTTTTGTAAAAAAAAAAAAAAAAAGGGGTGGCTGTGGCTGAGTGGTTAGAGCAATCGTCCTCCAATGGGAGTGTTGGGGGTTCAACTCCACCAGCAGTCACATGCTGAAGTGTCCCTGTGCAAGACACTGAATCCCTCATTGCCTCTGATGAGTGTCCCATCAGTGTATGAATGTGATCTAAAGCACTGATTTTTCTTTGTAAAGATAGAGTGCTGTATGAATGGGTAAATGATTGTAGTGTTTGTAGACGCTTTGAGTATCTTGATAAGATAGAAAGGCGCTATATAAGTACAGTCTATTTACCATTTTTACCAAAAGTTTTGAATCTCTCTTATCTTAATCCACGTTGCTGTTGAATCTCACAGAGCATGTTCTCCATGCTCTGTGTTCTGTAACTAGTGTCACGGCTGATAAGGTACTAACTACTGATAACCATTGGACAGAACATCACTTTAAAATGACCAGACTATTTCTTTCACAGCTATATGCCTACATAAATCAGCCACAGCCATCAAACATCTGACAGATATAGGATAACAATCTTCTTTTGTAAAATATTACACTTTGACATTCTTGTGAAGGTTATTGACACGTGCCATCAACAAAACCAAACTCTCCTCTGTTCCCATGGAAACGTTATCTTTCAGGTGGCAGCAGCCTCCTTCCTTCAGCAAGGCAGTAAACTCTGACACACTTC